AAGGGGAAATGGTATTTGTAACACGTCTTCAGTAGTAAATCTGCAAACTGGCAGTAAAAAGAAATCTGCAATGGAGCACAAAGAGGGAAATGACTACATGGCACATGGCCCAGCCGAACTCTGTTTTCACAACATTCTCTGCAGAATAAATAGGCACTGTGTCCTGATGTTCTCATGTCGAGTAATGCTGACTCAAGCAGTGATTTGCGTATAAAATACCAAGCTGTGCCACCATAAATGGTAATGAGGCAATGAAAGTGACAGAATCTGATTCAGTGAAGCTAGTCACTAATTGACTTTTTATGGTATTGACTCATTTAGGAGCTAACTTTGGGAAAATAGACTCATGAGTCATCATGGGAGATGTACAGTATTAGGTTAAAATGCATTGATTTTTATTGATGAGCAGGTAGCGGTGGAATTGTTTGCAAAAGATCATGTCACATATGTTGCCGCAGATGCAATAAATATTAGCTGGTACATGGCTAGAGGGGAGAGCGGATAAAAGGCTCACAAATCAAGTTTCGCTGGATGTTAAACTAAAGCCAAACTGCAGATAATCAAACCCGATGTATGGCTGCTAACTGGACAAAATTTGAATCCTGAAGTTTGTTATCTGGACTTGGTATTTGAATCTCTCTGATTCTTACATGTGACATGAACTACCCATTATTTATCTAGACAAGTAACACACTATTCCAAGTCTTTGCTGGCATCAAACCATTCCTGTTTAAAGTCCAAATTAGAGATTAGTAATGGCAGAAAAGAAATGATGCAATCACAGTGAAAGTAAAAAAAAGGTAAAATGAATAGGAAGGTGAATTTAGCTGTGCTATTGAATTTGAGCACTTTTTATAAGCAGTTAGACCTGTGTTCCTGTAAAGTCAGATGAGGAGACTAATGTTCTCATAGACCCCATTACACTCATTCTTCATTGTTGTCAGTACTTGACTACCACTAAACGTTAACATATGTGTGAATTGCACAGGTATCCCATGATGGGGAGCAATTCTAATTATTCTGACACCTCAAATCACAAGATTGTTTTGTATGATGAAGAGGACTCTTCAGCTCAATTGACCTCATCCTTCCTATTGTTTACCCATGACAACATCAAGCTGTATTTTGTTTTATTGGATTCAGCATTCTGGTCTCAACCACCCTTTTTGGGGAGTGTTGCAGTTGTTTATTAGTAAATACTTCCTGGTGCATGTCCTGAAATTGCTCTTTGCATTTTTAAACCTGTGCCCTCTAGTTCTACTTTCTTGGTGCATCTGAAAGCATTGTTCTGGGTTTACTTTCTCAATCCCATTTAAAATGTTATACACCTCCAGAAGGTCCCATTTGAGACATCTTTAAAGACTGAAAATAATAATCCTTGCATTTGATATAGCGCCTTATCACGTCTTCGAGACGTCTCAAAGCGCTTCACAGAATATACTGCAAAGTGAATTGACTATACTTTGTGGGCGAAACGCGGCAGCCAATTGGTAGCCAAAAACCCTAGTTCGTCTAATTATTGCTCAAAGCTTGTTCCTTTAACACTGTGGACTGTCCTAATGTCTTTCCTTTGCACTGGGCAGCCCTTTCATGTCATGGTGACCATAACTGTGTGCGTTACTCCAAGTATAACCTGACCGTAGCATTATATAGCTCGACTATGTCGTCTTCCAATGATCTGAACTCAATTGATTTTGGCAATGTAGCCCCGCATCCTTTTTTGATATATCAGCGCTCCTCTAAAATGTTAGGAGACTTTTAGTCAATTGCTTCTTCTGGCAGCTTGCAATGAGCACTTGATTCTTCAGTCATTCTGTCTTTAGACGAAGAATATTTTTTCTTCGCTCCCATAAACAAATAGTGCAACTGAAAGTTTTTCTCTTTATTTGACTGACTGCTTTTTACTATATCGCAAGATGTTTCATTTGCCAATGATGATTTCCATCCGCACTGTGTGCGAGGGAAAAAAATTCAATGTAAAGAACTTGTGCTTGTTTTTTTTGTTGAAATAGACGAGATGTTTAAATCCAGGGGAGTTGGGCTCTGATGATTACAAGCTGATTTTCAGATCTGATCCGTTGCTTGTAGTTGCAGTCAGAAATTCAACATTCCACCTCCCCAAAGGAGCAGTGCACCTGCACTCAATCCAAAGAGGCATTTTTAATCCGTAACAGCAACTATCTGAAATTGGGCTGCACTGTATCTTGTTGCCCGTGCCATCCTTACAAGAAAATATTAGTGGGCACTAGTGATCACCACCTTACAAAATTGCAGTTTTAGCGGTTGCAGTTAATATTCAGTTGGCATTTAACTGCCTCCCAACGGAACATAGCTTTGGAGAGATTAAGGAATACATGTTAAGTGGCTCTCGGCAAGTGGACAAAGCAAGAGGAGTGCATTCACTGTTTCGAATCACTCTTAAATGTTCTGTGATTTAGGGTGGAGATTTAAAGATCCCATGATAACTGTTTCAAAGAGCTAAGCGTCCTGGCCTCTATTAATTAGAATTTATAGTAGTCTTTGTGGGGCATTGTTGATGCAGATGAGTTACTATAGGCTGAGATCATGACATTTAAAAGGGAATTGGATAAACAATGAAGAGGAGAATAATAAAAGGGTTGTGGTTGAGTCTCTCTACAGCAGAATGCAAAGCAGCAAATGCCTGAAAATGGCTCTTCTTTTTGCTTGAAGGATGGAATTTCACTTTGTCTCGAGGATATATTAGGCAATATGCTTCATATGCTGGGAATTCTCGTATTTATGATTGGTTTCTTGGAGTGGATATGCAGGTGGTTATCTTATCTGCATCATAATGTATTCTCGAAGCACAACTATGGTGACTCGGTTGGGGAAAGTGGTTTCGTATAGTTCCTGTGTTGTTCACATTGAAACACCTCAAACCCAGTTGCACTGATTGGGAGTGTCAATATGTGGCAGACTGACATTCAAATCGAGAGGAAAATTGCTTACTATAGTAATTTATTTTTTTGCCACGAGGGTTTTCCACAAGTACCTGATTTTAGCCCACATCCTTTCTTCATTTCCTTATTTCTACTGGGCACATTCGTACTTCCAGTATTGTTCATTTTTGAGGTTCAGCCTCATTTTCAAGGAAATGTTGTACTTTGGTGTGGGCTGCACACGAAGGCATCTTGTGAAAAGGTACTGTACCTAAACTTTCTCAATCTTCCAGTGAGCTGTTTATATCCCGAGCTTATGGCAACACTTAAAATAACTTTTCAATCCGTGAAATCCAAAATGCATGCAACAAGTCCTATTAATTATTGCATATGCAAGTTTGCATACTTGTTGAGCAATATTTTTATAGCCAGCACTTTATATTCTGAGCAGGGAATATAATTTAAGTGTCTGTTTTTATAATTTTTAGTTAAAATTTGAATTACGAATTTTTGAAATAAAAATACAGAAGTTCCACACCCAAGTCATCATGAGCATTTATTATGTAATAAATGTTCACATGATAAACATTAGCTATAATAGGGTGCTGTATCAACAACAACAACAACAACAACAAATTGCATTTGTATACGCCTTGCATGTCAGAAGGGATGTCCCAAGGAGTTGGATCCTTGGGACATCCTTCTTGATCAGAAGGGGTGGGGAGGGTAGGGGGTGTGACCAAAGACACGGTTGAATAGGAGGGTCTTGAGGAAGCAAGGGAGGATTGGGGGCGGGGGCATATATCAAATGCAAGGATTATTATAATAATATTACCATATCTGGGCTGTGAGTAGTTCAGGTTTGCTTGTTTCCTTTGCTGCCTCTACACTGAAATCTGCCCCAGCTCATTGTTGAAAATGAATTGGGACTAAGTAGGTGGGTGCTCTATTTGTCACATTTCATCGCTGTTGTGGGGTTGCAGGACTCAGCTGGTCTGAATCCATCACTGATTTTGTGATGAGTTGTAGCTGGCCGCTGGTAAGCAATTCATGCATGTTACAGCAGCTTGTCAATGTTTTAAACTTTCTGTTGAAAAATCAATTAACTTAGAAAAAGGGTAAGCTGAAATTTTTTTTAAAAAAACTTTAATCTCAATTTCAGTGATGCTTTCTCAGCTCTGAATTGAAGTTTAAATCATTTTATTCGTTGCTTATTGTTCTGTGCAGTCACTGAATCGTTAGAATTTTTGGCACACTTCCTGCACTGGACTTGCTGTCTAACATGGCACATGAATGCTATAGACTTGTGTGTGTTGAAATATTTAGCCAGGGTACATACTGTATCCGCATTAATATAGCAAAGACCTCACTGTTCTGACAATGATCAGCAAAATCAGCTCCCGTAAGTGTATGGGCACAAATTTAACCATTGAAGATAGCAACCTGTAGTTTTAATGAGATGGAATACTTGGAATGATTGAAATGCTTTAGCATTGTGAATGACTCTATTGACTAAACTGCAGTGGGAGCTCTTGGGTACATACATAATTCAAAACAATCTTCGGTTCCCAGGCTTTGCTTAAACAGTGAGACGAAGGATATACAGTGGTACTGCCATCTTTGTTTGCTTTGCAGTGAGTCATCAAACTACAGCTTGTACCAGCGCAGAACTTTACCATTCAAGATTACAGTTCTGTGTTTAGAGTCTGATTTCTAATGTGGTGACTCCTTAGGCTGCCGGTCAAAAGGCTCTATTCATTCAAGTGTGTAGCCTGAATGTTAATCGCTGTCCGTTGTGTTCATTTACATTCAGCGCACAGCAGTAGGGGACTTGGCTTGTACAGACTGAGCTGGATACAGCAGAGATTTGATCCTGCCAGGTAATTTGTGCTGGCACATTTTTAGTGACTTTAGTTTGGAAACGAATGAGGGATTTTGAGAGTTTTAAGTTCGAATGTTGCTGAGATTTTGCGTGTGGTGGAACTGGGATTGACCTGTTGACTTTTTTTCTAAAAAAACAAATCTTGTCATTTGCAGATGTTTCGATGTTGAGACTGCTGTCACTGTGATTCTGAAAAGGAGCAGCACTTCATCTCAGCCATGGCTCAGATCCTGCACTTAGAGATTCCGAATTTTGGGAATAATGTCCTGGGATGCCTAAACGAACAACGATTAATGGGGTTGTTTTGTGATGTCTCCATCGTGGTCAAAGGTCAAGCCTTCAAGGCTCACCGTGCTGTGCTGGCAGCGAACAGCCTCTATTTTAGAGACTTGTTCAGTGGTAACAGCAGAAGTGCATTTGAGCTGCCTGCCACTGTGCCGCCCGCCTGCTTTCAGCAGATTCTTTCCTTTTGTTACACAGGCAAGCTTACCATGGCAGCCAGCGAGCAGCTGGTTGTGATGTACACAGCAGGATTCCTGCAAATTCAGCGTATTGTTGAGAAGGGGACAGAGTTGATGTTCAAAGTAAGCTCCCCACACTGTGACTCCCAGACCACCTCCATCGAAGACACGGGCTCCGAGCCACAGAGCCCTTGCCCCCAGCAGCCTCCCACAGCCATGATGGTCACATCCCCTGCTTTACCCATCCCGCTCCTAACTCGAGTGAAGAATGAGAACTCCGAGCATGATACAACGACACCCAATGTTCACCTCCCAGCAATGAAGCGCTCACTTGATTCTAGCCAGCGTGAGAACATGGGTAACCTGAACTGTGTCACCCCGTTGAAATTGCACCGAGTTTCTTACCCCGGATCGTGGAATGGCACAAGTTTTGTGCAGCCTATATCATATGCTCAGGGAGAACGCACAAGCCCAGGGGCAAGTAGTGTTCAGACGACTGATAGCCCAACATCGTACCACAATGAAGAAGAGGAAGAAGAGGATGAAGCTTATGAAACCATGGCAGAAGATCAGTATGGACAGATGTATATCAAGACTTCGACAGGATACTCTGGTAAGAGACATTGAACTATTGATGTGTCAATTCATTTCCAAATATATTGTGATTTTCATTTCAACTAGATTGTATATCACTTGTCTTTAGAGCGTCACAATTGTTCAAGTTGCTATAGCAAGGTATTAGCTAAATAGATAGTTATTATGCCCATATTGAACTTTGGTTGACATTTAGGAAGAGGTGTGGTTATAATTGTTCAATTCCGCAATAGCTTTAAAAATGCCATCTGTAACCTTGCTATTTACAGCATTCAGTAACTGCAGCTTCCTTCTCTCAGTAGCGTAACTTGTGTGTATAAGTAAGTCAGTCTTGAAGAAATAGTACTCAAAGTGATGTCCCAACTAATCAAACTCCAATGGCGTTCTATCAGAAAGCACCTCAATAAATTGTAACAAACTGTAGGCTCAAAATGAGTGCATCTCACTAAGTCCCATTTGCTTAGGTGCCGTACTGTTGGAGGCCCTATACACTTAAAGGGAATTAGAAAAGTGTTTGAAGGGAAGCAATATAAAAAGATATGGGGAGGGAAGCAGATTAGGATGTATATCTCCTGTGGAGGAGCTAGCACCAGCTGATTTGTTTGGGCTGATTGGTGGCATCTGGTACTATGATTTCTGATTCTATTACTAAGGCAGTTTAACACCATGAGTTTTGGGAATTTTAGAAAAATGTGTGACTTAATTTTTTAAAAAAGCTAATGGGATCAGAATAACTTGTTGCTTCTAAATTATCATAACCCAAAAAGAGCAGAGTTGGTTTAATGTTGATGAATGGTTGATAGCATTTTGGTGCTATAGTTTGTGTTTATTTTATCATTGAACATAAGAGAGCATTCATTGAATATTAAGATATTTTTAGATTGGCTTTTCAACGCATATTAAGCATCATGGACTGTGCAAGTGCCTTGACACTGTAGTGAGGCCACCCTACTTCATTTGGATATGCAAGTCTAATAAACTAACAGTGTGTTTAAAACCTACATTTTGGATTTATTTTTTTCAATGAGGCTGTATGACTATAGAAATTACAGTACAGGGAGACATTTGGCTCTTCAAATCTATGCTGGTGTTCTATACTCTATATCTATACTCTGTTCTCAGTTCTCTGCTCTTTCCCCATACCTTTATATTGCCGCTGTTGAAATGTTTATCCAATTACCTTTTAAATGCTATTTTGGCTTCAGTCTCAATATCGACTGTGACCGAGCATTCCATGTTCCAATAGCCCTCGACATGAAGCAGCTTCTTTTAACCTTCCTCCCTTAACTCTTCCAGTCCCAATCCTGATCTGACCCTCCCTTGTTGGCAACTGAAACAGTTTCTTGTTAGAGAATGCCCGCAGAAAGAGCAGAGCAATTTCAGTTGGGAAACCACATATTTGGGGGGTGGAGGTGGCCGTAAGCGTGGCCGAAGAGGAGTTTAAGTACCATTTGAAACGCATCGTGCACGCTTTCATTTGAATGGTCGGGGCAGCACTACAGTGAACGAGACCAGCCATCCCATCACGTTGGGCTTATTTCCTTCATCTTTTACTGGGATAACCTTTGATCAGGAATACGTTTTCTGAGATTCGAGTTCCTTTTCTTGGAAACTTTTACCTGTGTGGATTCGCTAGCGTCATTGGAAACTGAAAGAATACCCCAGGGAAGAGTTGCGTCTGTAAACATCTATTTATGTGTGATTTTGATTGATTTATTATAGCATAAATAGCAGACCTGCATTATTGGGTAAGATCGTCTGCCTGGAATGCAATATCCATGTATGTTTTATCTCACTTCGGTACTTGGCTTAGCATCCCATGTCATCCTGCATCATTTCTGTGCTCCACATCAGATCCCACGACTAAACAACTATTTTATAATTGTCTAGTACCTTTCACGTCAGGAGGACATCTCAATTCACTTGTATGGAATGAGCAGTGGGCCGAATGATCCTTTCATTGTTCCTCCTCATGCACTTCATTTTATGTGTGAAATTGCATTGCATTAACATGTTTAAAGCCTGGGCGAGTAAAAGTGAGCTGATTCTAGCCCTTGACACCAGGAATAATCACCACTTGCATGTTGGGTATTTGGTTCTCTATTTCTTAAATAACTGAGAATTTAGAATGGTGAATGTAAAGAATGCCTTTGTTCAAAAACACTTGTGTTGGATCGAAACCCTTTATCTTCACTTGCTTTTTTTCAGCCTGAGAGCTTTTGCTCTCCTGTCTTGTGATGCTTTCCTTGCTTGTTTGTCTTGCCTACTTTATTCATCGAAGTATTTATCACTTTGAGTAATTAGGGTTCTTTCAAATGTTTTTAAATCTCTTAATCACTGTTTTAAATGTATGCATTTTGTCTCTAGTTTCATCTGGACTATTCCAGGTTTACCTGATTTTATGCCATTCACTATTGTATCTACTTGTGATATACATCTACAGTGATATAAATGCAACTTGTTGTTGAGTTACCCCTACCATCACTTTCTGAAATGTAGAAGTAAAGTTTTTTTTGCCAATCTTTTCTTGCACCTCAACACCTTTACATCAAGGATTAGTCTTATTGCTTTTTCTCTGTATCCTTGTCAAATATAGTGTGTATCTTTCTGACAGAGTAACTAAAATGAAAAATATTAGTCCTGTGATCTGACCATTGTACAGGAGAGCTCACTATTCAGAACTGGTCCTGTGGGGGTTAGAAAATTGTGATTGCCAGAAATTGTAATTTGTCACCACTGTGAATTCAAATTGACCAAAAACTTCCAATAGGAATTGTAAAGCCACTGTAGCATCATACCGACAATCTCTCTGTGTGTCCCTCCCTCTCTCCCTCCTTCCCGCTCTCTCTTTCTCTGCTTTTCATATTCTCTCTGCTTTTTGTTTTACTTTTTCCTCTCTTGCTCTCTTGCTTTCTCTCTTCCTTTAGCTTCCTATCTTTCACTGATTTTGGAACTATCAGAGGGTTCCCATACTTACTCTGTGATTAGTAATGGCATGAGATGCAGACTTAGATGACTTTCATGTAACTTTAGCCAGAGTTTCAATGTGTTTTTAAGGTTCTGAAATTGATTATATTTGTAGAATAATTCAGAATAAAGGAAGACTAGTATAATTCCTAGAATTAGAATCAATGATGATAAATGGCACATTGTAGGCTAACACCAGCATAGCTTCTATTACAAAACAGTGTAATGTGGGATGTTTGCATTTTGGTAATTTTAATTATTTTCAATGCTATTTGTTTGTGTGTATTTATACTCTTATATACACACACACACCTATGCCTGTATGTATATAATATTTGTTATATATTATATATGTAAAATACATATAGTAATAGAATAAAATGTGTGCAATTAATATATTACTGTATATTTGCAATGTTCTTGGTTTCCATTTGCTGCTTGATTAGGACTTGGAGGAATTTGATAAGAGTTTTGAAAAGATGCCCATGTTAGCAATTACTAACCTTGGTGGTATGATCTTCCAAAGGTAAAATTGCTCATTCGTTTCATTGCTGTTTGTGGGACATTGCTATATGCATTGAGCTGCCGCTATCTTTTACAAATACACCGTCACTCTACTTACAGTAAATCCCATGAAACTCTTTGGGACGTCCTCCCAATGTGAAAGGCACGATACCAAATCCAAGGATTAATATTACGATCAACTACCTTCAGACCAAAATGATGCACAGCGTCTCTTTCAACATATGCAGGAAATTATTATTGATGTTGAACAATTTAATTAATATCTTTGCGATACTCGGCTGACCAGACTGACAAATGGAAAAGATTTCACTATGAATTACTCATAAGCAAACAACCCATTTTGTCACAGAATATTATTCATCGAGCAGGAAATATCTGTGTGTCTGCATACATTTGGTCTAAATCCGCTTGCTTTGTCCAAAAAATCAGCTCAAGCAATGTTGGCCATGAAATTTTTTCACTGAACGTTCTTTCATCAATGCCTCATGTTGAGACACTCACAAAAACGACATCATTAGGAGGCAGCAGTCTCCTTCTGGTGAATCCCAGGAGGAAATCAACAGTTTGAGTGCCAATTCAAAACTGGGTCTGAAAGCATTTGTGTCTGAAAGATAGCCATGATTTACAGATGAATTTTGTTTTAACGGTAGCTATTTGCATTTTGCAGGAATTTATGGGAGAAAAACTGAGCAGTTTCATGATGACTGGTTTAAGTTTATTGAAGAGTGAATCTATAATCTAGACGTCTTGCCGCTTCACTCCCATATTTTGGATATTTTAATATTTCAAGTGCGTTCCGTCTCTACTGCACACAATTGTAGTTTGATTGCTTTTATTGTCTGCAGTGCAAGAAAAAGTTGGACAACTGCCAGCGCACATGACGCTTGAAAACCGCTCCTGTGTACTCATTCGACGGGATCTGGTGGCACTTCCTGCTAGTCTCATCAGTCAGATTGGGTACCGATGCCACCCGAAGCTCTACTCCGAAGGTGACCCTGGTGAAAAGCTGGAACTTGTCTCGGGTAAATTTAAATCTCCAATGTGTGTGGCAATTATATGCAGAGTACATCTCTTTTTGGAGGGTGGGGTGAAGAAAGAGTGGGAGGAATACTGATTTCCTGTAAAAATAAATAGTAATAGTGCTTGGGTCACATGATTCATGAGGTTACAGGATGTGATGCATACCTGATTCACTCAGTGGTTTATTTAACAAAGCTTTGAACACTAGTCAGCACTGAAATGTGTTGGCTGTAAAGTCCAGTGAATTTGTAATAGACTGTCGTGGTCTTGTGATTGTTGGGAGTTTGGTGCTGCATAGGTTTGTGCTGAGATGGAGATGACCGTATGATCCGGGCAGGAGATCTGAACAACCAAGACCTCAAAAAATGAAGCTTGGGAGGGAAGGCAGGTGAACCACACGGAAATGTGATGCCTTGTAGCTCTACTGGGAGTATCAGTGATCAGCAATAGCCAGATTAAGCTCAGCAGTTGCCGTTGATTGACTCCTGGCTGAGTGCAGTTCAAACGTTAAAGAACTTGTTTGATGCCACGTAAATATACCATCCAGGGTTATTAGTGACGGATCTTATTTGTTTCACCACATTTGATTTAATTAAACACTGCACTGCAGAATTTTCTGCAGTGTCCAACTCTTTTTGCAGTGATCGTTGTACTGAGAGCTGAGATCTGGATTTAAATAGCCATGAACTGAGGTTATAGTTCATTTGTTAGGAAAAAAAAGCATCGTAAACTGAGATTTGGTCTTGCAACTTTGACCAGATTGCTTTGTATTTCAGTGAATGAATGATTCATACAAGCAAAGTTTTTGATCTTAAACTTGAATGTGATGAAATCCAATTTAAGTGGCCTTTCTTGTGCAGAGAGCACAATATAGCAATTGTCAAGACCCGGGGAGCTAGTTGATGTATCAATTTTTTGCTTCTATATTAGTAATGTGAAATTGTATAGCAGTACAATATTAATTAATCATGTATCTGTTATGCATAAGAGTATTGCTCTTCCAGTGAAAGACAGTGTTGTGTAGATGGGAAGAATATTCTATGAGTGGCTATGCACAAGTAAAGAACGTACAAACCTGTTTTGCTGATTTTATCCAACCCAGAGTTGGGCCCTGATCATTCCATTTGGAATTTATTGGCATACCAGAATAGTAATTTGCTGATTACTATTTGTTTTAGATCTAATTTCTCAATTTATTCATCAAAATTACGTTAACAGACCAGTCCAGAATGACTCTCTGGATCAAAGGCCTTATTTTAAGATCTTGGAAAAAAATTATTGGCGATTGTACAAAAAGGATTCAGTAAACCAGATCAAGGGCATTAATATTTGAGGCTGGCTTCAATTAAACCACAACCAGACACCAAATTGAATTTTCATTTTGGGAGGTATTTAGAGTACAACTATACTGCCACTGTTTTGCAAAGCATATTGGAAGTATTGATTCACAGTGCTGGCCTTTTAAAAAGGGGTTAATAGCTGCAATTTATCAGCTTCAGGAGAAGCAACTGAAGTTAAAATGTCTTTTCCCCCACAAATGAACAGTGGTCATACAATTAAAGAATCCCTGAAATAGCAACCTTCAAATCAATTTCATTTTGAAGTCCCAACAAATGAATGCACGCAGTATCTGTTCACACTGAGACTGTGAAATGGACAATTCAGGCCATTACATAGCACAAAACTGTCATTCAGCACTAATTGATTGTCCCACTCTGGTCATAAGGATGGCTGGATGAGGGAATTGAAAAAATACATTCTGGTTAAATAATAATTTAATAATCCTTGCCTTTCATACAGCGACTTATCACTTTGGAAGGACTTATCAATTACTTCACAGGATTTACTGTGAAATGGAGTGACTGTTTTGGGGGCTTGTTGGTCAGGACACTGGGAGAAACTTTTCGATAGTGCCATGGGATCTTAAAATCCACTTGAACAGGCAGACAGGACCTCGGTTTAACGTGTCGTCCGGGGCGATGGCGGGCTGGGTGGGTGGGGGGCTGCTGCTGTTGGGTCCAGTCATACACATTCCATGCTTTTGCTCTGAAATGAAAAAAGGACTCGCGGTACTTTTCCTTTAACATAAGATTAATACCTTGATATAAACCTATATTGATATAAAATTAACCAACTTCAGGTTTAGAATACTTTAGAGGTTGAGCTTTGTGTGTGTGCAGAACAGGGTATTTTAACATATTAAATAAACACTCAGAACCACTGTTTACAGAGTTACGTGATCTCGTATCTTTGAGGCAAGTAATGCGAGCTTCTCTTTCCTTCAGTTTCTCTTTCCCTCGCTCACTTTTTCTGGGGATTGTAATGGTGTGAACTGAACCACACAGGTCTGTGTGAGAGCAGCATAAACTAACTAGGGAGAATCTTTCAACCATTCACTGATGATGGGGTGGGGGGGGGGAAGAAGAGGAAGAGATGGGCTTCCTGCCACTCTGGGATTTGACGCCCGACAAACTGGCATGCCTCGATTCCGAGGTTTGCAATTCAATTTGCACTTCAGTTGCAAATCTATTGTAATCTGCCTCTTGTGTTCTCTGCCACGCCATGCCCCTATTGTGTGACCTCGCCAAAGCCTCGCTTGTCGTGTGGGCACTGCTCTTCAATGCCAGCACTTTTCATCTTTTGAAAAGTGGCCTGACATTTCAGCAGTAGCTATTTTATATGGGAACATAGGAATGTGCAGGGCCGGAATAGACCCATTGCAGCCCATCCAAAGCTTTTTTGCTGTTGAAAAAACTCGATCAACCTACACAACTGTTTCTCTCACAAGCTTCAATTGAATTCTTTGCCGTGGCTATCTATTTCACTCTTGAATTTGACACAATCTGCCACCACCTCTTCCCTGGGTAGCCCATTCCTTATATAAAAGAATTAAATCTGAAGTATTTATTCACCTTTCCCTCTTCTGAGCTTGAGTCCGCGTCCCCTTGTTCTGGATTTGTTGACCAGGCTAAAAATATTATTACAATCGGCAATTTTTTTCACTCCAGAAACCAACATTGGCCTATTACAGCTGTCTGTACCTGTGCAATGGGTCAAAACGTGCGTGATTTCAATCAACTATCGAAATGAGGAAGATAAAAGAAAGTCAACTAGTGAGCAAAAATCAGCAAACCTGACCTGATTTTATTGAAAGTAAAATTAAAAGTAATTTGAAGTTACCAGCAAAATATTTTTTCTCTCCTGAAGGCTTTTGGATTCATTGTTCTTTCTATTGGAACGCTGTCACGTTAGTGCCATGTGTCTTGCCCATATGACCGCTGTTCATGTGTGAGCCTTGACAACAGCAACAGCAGCAACAAAATTACATTTGTATAGGCCCCTTTCATGTCGAGAGGACGTCCCAAGGCGCTTGGACAATCAGTGTTTCGGAATCGAAGGCACCGTTGAAGAGGAGGGTCTTGGAACGGATCTTGAAGGAGGCAAGGGAGGGGGCGAGGTGGAGGGACTGCGGGGTGGAATTCTAGAGGGTGGGGGCAGAGTGGCTGAAGTTGTGCTAATGGCCGTGTGGGCAAGGCAGGGGACATGAAGCAGGCCAGAGCCTGCTGAGCGGAGGAGCGGGCAGGTTGGTAGGGGGTTTAGGAGGTCGCAGAGGTATTTGGGAGCTGCTAAGCACACTATATTTTGATTGATATAAACAAGCAAATAAACTCCAAACTGGTTGGTAATAAATAATTAAACACCCCCCATTCTGCTGGTAATAAACGGGGAGAGAGGTGCTTTTAGACCTATATGTAGTGTATAATATATAGTGAAGTGATGTGAGCTACGACAGTGGAGGCCATGGCTGGTGTCAGTGGGGCCACACTGGCTCTCATTTCTCATTGTGTGATTCTGTTATACTCTCCAGCAGGCACACACCCTGGTGATAGCCTCACCTGTGCACACACGTGTGTATGTGTGTGTGTGTGTGGTCCATGAGTATTTACAAGCTACCCACTGTGAGGCCCCTGCATTCTACATTCATGTGTGATTCTTGAAGCTGGGAGGACAGGCACACAGCATGCTCTCAACATTCCTTGTAATCTATGCACAGGAGAGACACAACTTTCACCCCTTTCTGTCATTCGTACAATGTAGAGGTTAAACACATCTGGATAAACAGATGTTAAAGAATTTCCTGATTTGCACAACCATTTTCTAATTGATTGACTGAATATTGGGTACACAATCTTGGAATCTTGCATTGCATTGTCATTTCACACATATGAATAGGAGTTTTCCTCCACTTGCTCGTGCACTCCCCAAACCTGACCTGGTTTCCCTGCTGGGGAGGGGAGGTATGTGGCTTGTTTGAAACATGGACCATGAATGATTCGGGGTGAGATCCAGCTTCACGCTGGGGCAGAGTGTGCTCAGCCTCAGACATCTGATGATTAAACTGAACTCAATCAGGAATAGGTAAATTCAAATGGTCTGGTCTCTTCCAACTTTCAATCTAGCTCTAAATCACAGCTGGTTTTATCAATGGACGCGTTGCTCACACCTCCTTGAGAAAAATCCACATAAAACACACATTTTTAAAAAAAAGGCTTGAATGCACGGGTTCAGTCATATGTTAGAGCTTGCATTTTAACTGATGTGTTTACCCTCTTGCAGGCTCGGGAGTTTACATCACACGAGGTCAGCTGATGAACTGTCACCTGTGTGCGGGCGTCAAGCATAAGGTCCTTCTACGCCGCCTTCTCGCCTCCTTCTTTGACCGGTGAGTGACAGCTACTCAATCTAGTCTGATTCGACTTGAATCCTGCGATGCTCTGCATCCACCGGACGTCACAGTGCTTTTGTTTTTCCTCCAGAAACACTTTGGCAAATAGCTGCGGGACTGGAATTCGTTCCTCCACAAGTGACCCCAGCAGAAAACCTCTGGACAGCCGGGTCCTTAATGCGGTAAAACGTGAGTTGTAATCTACTTGTGCTTGAAACAAACGGTGAAAATCGAAGCTGACAATGATTAAATAGTACACTTCCTTCAATATTAGCCCAGAATGGATGGATAGTTCACATCGAAACCTTTTAGAAAATGTGCTACTAGGAAGTTACTCATGGGAACGTAGAAATGTACAGAATTGGAAATTCAATTCAGTCTACCCGACCATTCTAAATGCAGTATTATAAAGAAAAAGTGCTTTTCTAGATCTTGTATTTCTTTGCCAAATAGCTATCGACAAAATTGTCTGTTCACCTTCCCTCTTCTGGGCTTGAATTCATTATCCTTTATTTTGGATTTTGTGCCAATCTTAAACATACTTACTGTGGGTCCTTGGGCCATTGTCATTACCCCCAAAGATATCTTCACTGCTGCTCATCAAAGAGTACTGATTGATCTTTGAAGGCTAATCCAAAGGAGAAATCCCAAGTGCAACATGACTGTGGTCCCAACAGTCACTCCCTGCTAAGCACTGACATTTAAACCGATAACCTTCTGGTCCATAGAGAAGCTCACAACCAGTGAGTTGGTTTGGATGCTTAGAATTCATCTTTATTTCTTCCCCGTTGAGCGAACAGACAATGGAACCAAATTAAAGCAGAAGTGCTTTGTTGCCAATTGTATGTGAATCCTACGCCCTCTTACAAGTTAGATTGGAAGATCCCAGATCACTTGAGCAAATGCAAAAAATAAAAGCAATTAGAAAGTGAGCAATCCACAAGTGAGATGTATTATTGCCCCAACGGGGGCCAGAATCAATACAGTAGAACCATTTTATAATCTTGTTTACCACCACAAAATATCACTATATTCCCAGGCAGATGATTAATACTGACAGCCTGATGAAATGGAGAAAGCAAGTTTTAAGTTCAGTAACATTTAAGCAGCCGATCTGAGCACAGCAGTCTTTTGAAACCGAGATCTACTTTCCAGGACAACAGTCCTGACTGACAGAAGTTTAGAAGTGGTGATTCTCTTTATTGAGAGTATGATTTAAAATAGTTACTCCTGGATTTTCTTGGATGTAAAATACTCTGGATCAATTTTAGTCAACATTGAAATAACCTAGCCCAGCATTTCTGAAGACATTATTCAAAAGCCTAATTTCTCAGATATATTTGATGCTTAGAGTGGAGTCTCGAGTACTTCCCTGGAAGGAACAGAGGTAGAATCTAAGGATTGATCAGTCTTGATGGCTGTGATCTTCATGAAAAGTCTTCCAGATCTTAAGGAATATTGACAAGCTAGACTCTAAAGGTTTGGTTTAATATGGTCAAAATATGAGAAATGAGAACTTTTAAATTTCTTGTTTATTAAAAGAGCTCATCCCTTAAATAAACATACAAGTGGATAAATTAATTAATTAATAAATTATCGTTCATGTTTAACAGTGAATCAACTAACCTTTTGGACTTTGAATATGCAAGGCTTAGAAATGGTATTAAACAGCACCGAATAATGCTGTGCAACTTTTAATCCAGGTGGTGTTTTATTCAATAGTTTAAACTTGTTTTAAACTGCTTTTTACACACAGTATACTGTCAGAACTTTGCCCCCAACTTCAAGGAAAGCGAGATGAATGTGATAGCTGCGGACATGTGCACGAATGCTCGAAGAGTGCGCAAGCGTTGGCTCCCCAAGATCAAATCAATGCTGCCCGACGGGATGGAAGTGTACCGCACAGTAATAGGAGACACTGGCAGTGGAGGAACCCTAGACCCTGAACTCTATGGGACTGGGCAGGCCTTTGAGCAAAGCGCCCTCATGGAGAAACGAAGTGACCCTGGGTCTATGCTTGGAGAAAGAACAAATGCTGTAACCCTCGATGTGGAGTCTCCCAACTCCAGCCAGTTGTGTGAACCAAGCGAAAGCGCGGAATCAGTAATCAGAGAAACCGGTTGCACCTTGGCACCTGACGCACCCACCCTGGGCCATGCATTTGATCAAGTGGAAAACTCTACCAACAGCTCAGAAACACCTATGCGAAAACTGGATGGATCGTACAGCGGAACATTATAAAGACTTCCAGGCTGGTTTGAAAGAAGCGCATTACATTTAATTGAAATGGCTTGCATGCATACTAACCCTCTCAACATGACAGTGTTATTAAAGCTACTGACCTGTAACTGTTGCCTGAAAACTTGACTTTTATTCCACTCGTATTCAATATATCATGAAGGAAAGAAGACGCCTTTAGGACATTGTAATAAATGTTTCCTGTACCATTCGCCTGCCAGGGGCCAACAGAACTTGCCGTCTGTCAACATCGAAGGTTCCAAGTACGTTGCAACTGAACTGATATATTAAAAAAACACAGAATTTCTTGTCCTACTGATATCAGATGATTTTAGCACTGTTTGTTCCTTAACAAAGTCTAAACCGGAAATGAGCTGTGGACGAAAGGCATTAACAGTGATGAAAAATTGGATTGCAAAAAAAACCTCCACCAAGGCTTGTACTTTCTCATCCTTCTATCTGATAGAGAAGAAACCTTTTCCACGTGGCCAAGTTTGCTGCTACCATGTGTGCTAGCTTATTTAGCTGGAATTCCATATTTAGTGTAATCTGCCTGGTCTGTTTTTGATCTATTCTAAACCATGCCATTGGAACAGTGACTGAAGCAAGCAATTATTTTTTATTCAGCTGGTAAGGAGTGTTTCAAACTAACCTTTGCTGGTAGTGTTCGCTTGGAACTCTTGTGAATCAAGATGGTTTCAGATATTTCAGGACTGCAGGTGGGCTTATTCTTTCACTCCTTCCCTAAAATAGTATCACAGTACTTTGCTTTATTCCGTCAGGAGAAAGGTCCATATGAAATCCGAGCATTAAGGACTTGAGTGACTGAGGGTGTTTGTGTGCGTTGGCTAGACCCAGCACTGCTGATCACGCTTGAGATGTATATTATCACAAATTCATAGATTGTAAACATGCAGAACCATGTGCCTTAGATATCTTTGATTTGTTTTCCAAAACAAACCACCCACCTTGAGCTGATAATGTTGTGAATGTGTAACAGAGTACCCATAGTATTTAAGTGACTTAAAACAGTATTTATATAATACAAATTTGTTCACCACCGTGTGAAATGTTCCAAATCGTTCTCCATTTTCAAACTGAGCCAGTTTGAGCTGCGCTCTTAAGACTGTTAGCAAAATGCACTTCACAGAAAATGTTTCTGACCAGACCGATCTTTCCCTTAACAGAAGGCGGAAAAAAAACCTGAATTTAAAACTAAGTGCCATTTAAAGGCTGGCCATATAACCCTTGCAACGTGAACTGTGGCACACTGTATAGATGCACTTTATTGTACATGCTATTAGATGAGAATTATGCGTCTTTCTACTGCAGCTTATATTTCCTTCGCCTCCGCTATGGTTTTTCGAAAGGAATTACTGTGTTTATCCAAGCGGTAGCTAGACGTCTATCTTGCGTTACTAAAACAGGAATCGAGATATCCACTTTCCCTACAAGGTTCAGCAACAGTGATGCAGTTGCCTGAAATGTGCCTTTAGGTTATCTTGACATCAGCCCACTAAAGCATATATGATCGTCATTGCATCCCCTTTCCAAATACTTCTCATCAAACGTTCAGTGGTGAAGTTGCACCAATATCTGCTACCATTTTCTTTGGTTGTTAAATATTGGTATTTTGAGAAGATTCTCACTTGGTAACTGAAGTGAAACTGCACTGAAGCCATTGTGAATTGCAAAGTTTGAGGCAACCATAGAAAGCTATTTTCATTTGTTTTCTCTCCTGTCAACCGTGAGAAAATAAAACATCTTTGTATGCCGGAGAGGTTAAACTGGTCAGAAGATTGTATATAATTCCTCTCATGTAATCATGCTTTAGAAACCTGCTTCCCAGGGATCAAGATTGAGTAATGCAGTTTGTCACAGGTTGAGTTTTTGTAACAACTACCAAATACAACCTATCTTTCTGTTTAAAGGTAATTCTTTTTTTAAAACAAACTAAATATTGCAATTGCACTGAATAGGTTGGTCTTGTGAGTTACGATTACCGATAATGTTAGACTTCTAAACATTGCAATATTGGTGTGTTGCCTATGTACACCAAAAAAAAGTGTGCCTTGCATACGGTTTGGTTTGCAGTACTCAAAAGGAGTGCTGGGGCTATTGCATAGTAAATATTGTACTTCCCAATATTCGCATTTAGCAGGAGGAAAGGAAGATTTTTTTTCATGTACTCAACACTCTTCAGTTTTATAATACTTGTTGGGTTTCAACTCCCTTCACTCTGAACCTGAAGTAAATGATACTTTCAAATATGAGAGAAAATCATTGATCAAAGGCATTGTTTTTCCTTTTTTTATATCAAGATATAACTAACTGCCTCTAACTCAGAGCTCGAGGGCCAGTTAAATGAAACTTGTGACTGATGCTTTGCTGTGTACTTTAACAGTTCTTGATTTTGCCAATAGTGTCACAGCATGTTTCTTACCTCTTCATGTTCTCTCTTCTGCTCCTGCCCAGAGTCCAATAGGGTTTAAACTTGTGCGGGTAACAGAAACAGTACAACAAAGGCACGTTTCAGAGGACTGAATCACTGACCTTGTGAACAAAGCTTTGATTCCTAACCCCCCCCCAACTCGCGCGCACACATCCCTACGCCCGGGATTTTGTCAGAAGAAGGACCACAATAGACCAAATTTCCACAAAAATACGATTTGATTTCCATCGATGAAATGTGATTAACGATTGTTTGCCAGAAATATAGTCAATGAATACCTTTTAGAAGAGTTATGTAATACTTTATACTTTACTATGCCGGATTTGAAGTTAAACGTTAGTTACTGTTCAGAAGGAAGGGAATAAAGTGTTCCAACTTTAGCAGCACTCGTAGGGAACTTGTTGGAAATGGTTCTGTTGCGAAATTCAATGACGGATTAGCTTTTATTTTTTTCAGTGCGTTTTTTCTTGGTAACCATAGAAGCCAAGCATACAAAATAACAGTATCTTCCAATTAGCACTGCATTTATACCATAATCTTATCCATATGGTAACTGTTAGAATCATTGCACTCCCCACGGGAAGAATTCGGGGCTTTTACTCACGGGCCATTTGCGGAAATTACTCAACAGATTTTTCTTAAAACGCCTTTGGGAATTTACACGGTTGTAAAAAAAAAATGCACAGTGAGGCACAAGATTATTGGTCCTCGCTGTGTGCAATTCTGACAAATGTTTAATAAAGTACAGTAAACTGTTCAGAACAGTTTGAGAAATATATTTTAAAACAATGTGGTTATTTTGGTTATCGAAGGTGCCCGATGTCCCCTAGCTGGTTTCTTGAGGCTTACTTATTCAGGTGCATTCCTGACACAACTGCGGGAAGAAATATTCAGTTTCATTTCTGAATCTGTTTTAACAGGATTTCCATTTATGAATCAAATAATCCTGTTCTCCCCTGGCCACAGGCAAAAAAAAAAGCCCTGCTTTGCTTTGGCTGTGTGGATAAGAGCCCTGATTGGAGAGATCAAAGGGATTATGGTGTCTTCTATAAATAAGCCTTTCCTCTTTTTGGTAACTCTTAAGTAATGCTTTTTCTTGTGTTAGACCAGGAGCAGCTTTGCAGCTATTGATCTATTGCAATGTATAGCTTTAAAAGCTGAAAACTAAACCATAAAAATCTCGTTTTATTTTACATTTTAATAAGCAAGCCTGAAAAGAAAAGTGTGCAGTGGGATAGTTGTAACCTTTCAATTAAAATTTAATAAAATAAAATACAAATGACATATCTGGTATTCAAAACAGTCCTGACTGTTGTGGTGGAATACTCTTTCTCTGTGTGTTGCCCTATCTAGGAACATTCTTTCATAGTTGGCCCACAGGGACAGTTGTCAAAATATTCACTTCAATGGACAAGCAAATAAATATGATTTACTCTCAGTGTTCTTGAAATTTTGGCATGAGGCTTCTAAAAGCAGTGGATTGCTAAACGGCAATTAATTTTAAACTGATCAAAATAGTCTTCCTAATGGTTATTCTTCCATTAGTACTGGGTAAATGTAGAGGGTTGGTCTACTGCTTTCTAAAATAGCACTAATTTTTAAAAAAATTCTAATTGCCAAAAAGGAAAGTGAGCAATTTACAATCTCAGAGATGTAATCCACGGGTTTTATAATCCTAGAAACGGACTCAGTGAAACAGTACTGTAAGGTTATCCCTTATGTGGAGGAAAAACAAAACGGATAACTTGACAGAACAAGTCAACGGCACATGCGGAGGTTGCTGGGAGAAGGGAGAATTTGGGACTGATTAAAATCCTTTAGTGATTTTTCAATATTTTCCAACAAGACCACACTTTCAGGATCAAAGTTGCTCTCAAAGCTTCGTTGGAATAGCTCATTAGGTTTGACATCCACAGGGTTTGTAAATTGTCTCTGTATTGATTCTCGGCTGTGATTTTGTGACCTTGTAGAATTTCGTAACTCTTGCTTTCTTCCAGTGGAGAATTACACGTCGACAAAGCCGAGAAAAAAATGAGAAGATGTGCATTCACTTTGAGGTGTGCAGCCTGCTTAACTTTTTTTAAAAAGAGAAAAGATGTTAATAGATGAGAACTTGGATTGAAGCTTGATGATGTTTGTCGTTGAAGCGATACCATCTTTTGCACATTAATATTTAGGACTCTGTTCCACTCACTTCCTGTACTTCTCTTGCTTAATCCAACTTGTCTTAAATTGAATGAAGGTTGAAATCACTTAAAGATTTGACTAACTATTATTTTGTTACATGTGTAAAGGTTAATGTCAGTACTTCCAACTAGCAGGTATTTATCGCTTGCAAGTCAGAAGTTCCTGGCTGCATACTGCATAGGGACTTGAATCAGAAAAATGTGTAATCTCTTGCCTCCAGACAATCTCTGTGGGCAGTGAGTTGCATTCCAACAGATAAGTGAGAACAACAGGCTGCAGCAGGAATGTAGTGACATGACAACATCCGTGACTGAGAATATTTAGTGAATGTAATGTTAAAGTCCATTTTTATGGCTCTATTTTTCTTCTGTCCTGAAAAAAATCTGAATGCGCTTTATGCCTTTGTTGTTCCAAACGATCAGAATTCTTCGCTGTGATTACTGTACATGCAGACAGTGACCTCTGTGCTTTGCCTCTTTAACACTGATGACTAATATGTGAAACGTTAATTTTCCTTTACACAGCATTGGCATTGTTCAGTCATTTATTAGTTGAAAAGTACAGGGTGGTAATAAACCCTTTTCACTCCTTGTACTGAGAATCTGTATTTGAATTGATTTTTTTTGTTTTGAAGTACTGTAGATTTAAGGTAGATTTTACATTCCCCATTGCAGGTGTCGATATGAAGGGGTTTGCTGAAAAAAATATTCCACGATTTGTATTGTCTAGGTAGAGGAGCTCAAAATTGCAAGTCTAAATTTTCTCGCAGCCTGGTTTTCCAATCCACGTGAATACAGCCAGAGCCTGCAAGAGAGGTAGACTGATGAAACTTTGCTCGACAAGCAGACACTTGTTTGGTTAGAGCAAGAACTACTGTGATTAGAACTTGCAGTTTAAGACTGTTTGTAGGAAGTTTGGAGGTTAAGCCTGCACATATGAATTTATGGTTGGGGATCGGCATTTTCTTCCTTCCTCTTCCTGAAGGCAATGACCCGTAGGGAGTTTGGTGTTGATGATCACCATTCCAAGCTGTTGTTGCACATGTGAATTTGGAAGGTTATTCATGAAGACAGGGCAATACTGGACCTGAGCACAATCCAGTCTTTACTCAACACCCAGCAGGAGACGCTGATCTGATCAAATTTGGAAACTTTGGCTAATTCTCTCCTCCCTCCCTCCGACCAGGTCAGGTAAACAATAACATCCTTATAGAGACCAGGAGTTGAAGCTGGGACAGTGGTTCCCAGCTCAGGGCAGTGCGTATATCAACTTAGCCATTGTTTCAAATGGAAATGCAACTCTTTAAAAAGTCACTCAGCTCTCAGACAATATTGTGCTTTGCTCCTACAATTTAAGGCTTTTTGGAGCCGAAACAATTGCAAAGAATAGATTGTAAATCCGAACCATATCAATCATCTCTTCCTCCCTTCAGAATAATATTATTGCAATTACTCATTATTCTTTTGTCGCTCTCAGTCTGAAAACTTCTGTCATTTGAAAACTGCAAGCAGTCGTTCTGACCGAATGCTTTCTTTCTGGATAGCACGATATTCGAATCCTTTGCCTTTTTTTGGGGAGGGGAGGGGGTCATTCTTCGGCCACAACAATGTTAAAGAATATTCAAGTCGAGTTAATAAAAACTCCTCGGGAATATTCTCCAGCGGTCACGTTGTTCAGCAANTTTTTTTAAGCTGTTGCGAAAATTTCCCTTCCTTTCCCTGTGCTCTCTCCCTTCCCCCTCCACCCCCCCCCCCACACACACACACAAACTCACTCCCAACCTCACTGCTTTTGAATGTAGAGTAGATCAACCAAATTAATTACAGCAGCTTTAACTTCAACACCGCACCAAAATAACACAATATGGCCTTCAACTTATTTAAAAGATTAGCATGATTAAGGGAATGTTGTATGGTTCTGTACACCTCTCTATTTTAGTACGTGCTAAACTAGAAATGATGTTCAGTAATGCAAACTTGTAGCTTGTTCCAATTAGCCAGATCTTGTGCTACAAGTTCATGAAAATGTGAGGGTTTTTTTTTTCTCAACACTGTAAAATGTCTATGAGCCATTTCAATACATTAGCACCTTTTGAGTTCTATGAAAGATTGTATAGATAGAGCTGCCTTATTGAAAACGGCAACTGTTAGGACTGTTACCTCCAGCAAGATGACTGTTAAAATTCTGGAACTGTTCCTAGACTTGGCCAAGATATTATGTGTTCAATAAAAGTAACACACTTGTACTGTTTTCACGTCTACTGTGCTTTATTTACTTTCCTTATTTCATGCTACAGTCAAAAGTGTCAACCTTTTCTCTACGGTTCATTGTATTTTCTTTTGTTAGCCGGGTGTCTGGTACTTGCAGAAACCTATAGTTGTGCTTAACAGTACCCAAAGCAGACTGGAGCTCCACGTATGCATTCCGTCTATGTATGGAAATGTAGCGTGACTATCCTTGGAGGGACGCACTCTGCTTATTTAATTCTGGGAAGTGTTAGGTGCAGGTTGCCAAGAATCAAGACTTGATGGCTATAGAGTGTGCCTTGGAGTATTGCTGGAGGTTTTTACAAGCTAAAACTGCATAGCTTGCCATTCATGGTGCTGTCTGGCAAACTTCCTGCTGCTAGAACCACCCTACCCATTAGGGCTTCGTCTTGCAGGGTTAATGGGAGCTGAGCGGGAAGAATCCTTGTCCCCATTGACCAGTCTGCCCCTCCAAGTCTGGCCAGGCTGGCTTGTCTGTTGTCAGCAATGCCTTGGGAGTACAGCAATACCCACCTGGCTTGGGAACCAGACGAGGAGGAGTGCCACAGAGGGTTGCAAAGGAAGATCATTTGCAAGTTCTTGTACATTTGTTATATGTACATTTACCTGCATTTCATCCCAAAATACACAGTCAATCTACTTCAGGATCTATTCTGTGAAGCAGTCACGTCTCAACGACATGATAAGACGCTATATCGAATGCAAGTATTATCATTATTGATCAGTTTCAAACTTTGAAGAAAGTTGACACTGTGATTTGATTTTGCTATCAACTAAGTTGCTTATGTTTCTAAATCGGGAATTTCAGTATTGTAGTGGTTACCTGATTTTTATTTTTCAAAGAGATATGCATTAATCATGGCAGCTTCCTTACAAGAGGTCCTGTCTGCCTGTTCAGGTGCGTGTTGACTAGCTCATGACACTATTTGAAAAGAGAAGGGAGTTTTTTCCCGGTGTTCTGTCCTCCAGATTAATTGAACCTTCACCTTGTAGCTGTTGGTGGAACATTCCTCACATAAATGCTTACGTTCACCTACACAAATGGTCACTACAATTAAAAATATTTGTGTTTTGAGACGTTTCCACATAAGGTGAGGATGCAAAAAAAAAATCTTTCTCTGGATGTGTCATTTCCATGGCGATTGTAAGCACTGTAAACGGCATTAAGGAAGGAAGCAAAGCATTGTATCCCAATTTATCAATGAGTGGGTTGTGACATCTGACGTACGGTATTCAATAATGCTGCCGACGTATCACAAAGCAGCCCTTGTGCATTGCTGCAAATGTGATGAGGGCAGGACATGATGCGATGCGTCAGTGGCATGTGGCACAACGGTCTTTGTGTTACAATAGAGCAGAGAAACCATTGTGCAGCAAACGGCAATAACATATAGCCTCACCCTTACCAATAAAAGTAGTGAAGCTGTATTCATTCTCAGGGTTTTGCCTTCACAATGCAAACGTGTAGATTGTGTTCAGTCCAGCGCACGTGCAATTTAGACAGTCAACTAAAGCAGATTTGTTTTAAATATACAGTAATGTACCGACTGTACAAATCAGGGCAGTCATATTTGGATTCCTGGTTCATCAGATGAATGCTGAATTAAATCATCAAAGTTGAGGGAAATCAAAGCTCCCAACACTTGAAAACATTTTGAACTGTCATCTATGGATGGTCTATGCATAAAGCTAGTGAGTGTGCTTTAAAACCACATAACAAACCCAGAAAATACTAAGATTCAACCCCTTGTGTGCTGTAAATCGCCTCAACCCCTTGTGTGTTGTACGTTCTACCCAAGAGTTCTTCTTGCCTGTTGAATCTGTATTTAAGAGTCTACTGGAACTATGTGCTTGGGGTTTGATACTATAACACTTCTGTGATTATAATACAGTCTGCTTGCTCGAGTCATTTGATTTGCTTTTGCTTTCCATCAGATTGCTTTGAAATCTCCAGCGATCCTCCGGGACAGTGAGGAGGGATTGACAAAATGAATTCGACTTCATTTCAGTTGGTGTTTGATCTGGATTCCATTCACCGAGAGATAACCTTGCTTGCCCGCTGATAATTTTTCCTTTGGGAAAATTATGTACATCACAAATGTCCTCTGTACATTTAATGTCTGCAGTAACTTTGCATACAGGGACTTTGCTGACGCAGCATAATATGCCGTTATCCCCGAGTGAATAGAGGACTCGGCAGAATCCAGATCAAACATCCATTCAAATTAAAATCCCATTTAATCTTCACTTCTTTCATAGGTTCGAATTGTGCAACTAATTCATGTCGGTAAGACTTCAGAATTTTAAACAAGAAATTTAGATGTTGCATTTTTATGGCTCCTCACCACAGGGTCAAAGCCGCAGAATGCCTTGTGGTAATTGCTTTTCAATGCGGTGGCAACTTATTCTGCTGGCAAATATGACCGTGTTTTGCGCAAGCCAGGTCTCTTAAACAGCTATGGAGGCGAATAATTTATTTGGGGGATAGGTGGGCGGAAACTCTCTTCACTTTTCGAATAGTCTCCGGGGACCTTCAACATCTACCAGAGGACAGACACAGAGAATCTTGGTTGAGCGTCTCATCTGCAAATAGCACATTCGCAAAACAATCACAGTTGGAATATGTTCCCCATTTTAAAAGGCCCACGCTGGGTGTCAGCCTGGCTGTGGTCGCGCTCTCACCTCTGAGTCAGAAGGTTGTGGGTTTCAAGCCCTACATCAGGACTTTGAATCACAGAGTCTAAGCTGCACACAGCAATGCCCCACAAACAAGTCATGGAGTGAGTGACTAATAACCGTTTGGTGTTCACTCAAGGCATCCCGTAACTGCGAGTGTTTGCTCTCACCTGGCCTAGGGTTTCTTCAAAGAATCATTCGCCATTGGTTTTCACCCTTTCACGAGAGCCCTGAGACTGTTTGAAATGGTCTTCACTCCAGTCACTTGGTCACTTGTTTAAGTGCAAACAGTTATTTTTAATGTGTTGAGAAACGTGGGTGAAGGGCGCTGCCAATGTTGTAGGGAGAAGTGGAGAAAATGAGATGAATGAGAAATTGGGTCACAGGTATAATAATCTTTGGATTTGATACAATGCCATATCACGTTGAAATGTTTCAAAGCATTTTACAGTGATTAAAATTAAAGTGTAGGGACCTACGTATTTATAAACTCACACAGCAACCAATTTGTACACAGTGATGTCCTACAAACAGACAGGAGGTGAGTGACCAATTTGATTATTTGTTGGTCGGGACACTGAGAAATTCCCTTCTCTTTTCATATAGCACAGGACCTTTAATGATCACCTGAACAGGCAGATGTGACCTCAGTTTTACGTCTCATACGAAAGACGGCACCTCCAACAACGGATTGATTCCAAGTTTCAACATGGGGCTTGAGCCCATAACCTTATGATCTTGAGGTGAGTGTGCAATCAACTGAGCCAGCCGACAAGGTTGGGTTATAAAAGATGGTAGGTTGTAAGAGTCAGATAATACCAAGGGAGCAGAGAGAGTAGGAGACGGTGCAGCGATGTTTGATACAGATAGAGGAACGTATAGCATTTGAGGAAATTTGGAATCGGTGAGGAATAAACTGAGGTGTGGGATTATTGGAGCCTTTGATGTATATTGCACTTACTACATTGTAAAAGACAGGAGATTAGCATAGGGGACAAGCTACAAAGGCTCGGAAACCCCAACATTCTGGCTCGAGAATCTTCTATTATATCACTGAAGTAAAGAGCTCTATTATTTACATTGTAACTTCCTTCTCTCCCCCTCAATTCCCACCAACCCCCCCAAAAAAAAACATTTCTCATGTGTGAGAACTTTATCACGCTGAGTTGTAATTAAGAAATTTTAATACAATTCAAAGCAGTCCACAAAATCCACTATGTACAGGAGAATGAAAAGCATTTAGTTCCTCGCCCGTCTAATATAAAACATTTTCACTTCAGAAATATGGAAAATATTGAATTGTATGTACATTACAATTATTTACACATCATGCAGTCAGTCAGTCAGTCAGCATTGCATGTTCTGGGTGAGGAAATGCACCCGTCAGCTGTCTCCTGGCAAGCTCTCTCTCGCCTGAGTCCTTAACCTTTTTGGATATCTCAGTGCATTGAAGTCTTGAGTTATCGCAAGGATACAGGGAAATTCTCTGGCTTGAAATGTGTTGCTGTGTTGGTTCCCACAGTCTCGAGTTGGGATTGGAGAGCTACCGTTTCTAAGGAGAATGTTAACGGTCCCCAGGATTGCAAACTGAATCTTTAAACTCTTTTAAGCTAACTCTTTTTTATCATTTTAAACTGACTCCGTCGCCTTATCCACTGAGCAAAACACAGCAGGAAGCTGGGAGCACATTCATAACTAAAGGGAACCAGCAACACAGCTACTGGATGGGACAGTAATTGGATTCTTCCAAATGTTTTAATTCAATATTACTGAACTTTACTGTATAACTACTACTGAACAAAAATCAGATCCGTCATTTTAATGGGATCGTTTATATACATCAGACGCCAACACAAGTGTGGGATCGGAACTGCTCGAATTACAAGGCAGACTTGAACTCGGTGCTTGATGTCTTTTCTTCACACAGAGGGTTTGTGCAAATATGGAACACACTGCTCCAGAAGTGCCACAGAAGGTGCAAATCAATGGGAATTTGTATATTTGCAGATATGGGTAATAATAATAATAATAATATAGGTAGATGTGTATTTGGGAAATAAAGCTATCGAGGAATATAAAGCAAAGGCAAGGAATTGTGATTAAAAGATCTGCTGTGATCTCATGAACTGCCGTGATCTCCGTGGGCTGAAAAAGAATTTCCCATTCCTGTGGTTAAATTGCCATTCATAATTATTTCATATCACTCCGTTCTCCAATATGTATTTGGACCTGAATTCAAATCTTTATTTTTTTTTTCTTCTTCCCTATGAAATGCTGAATGTTGATTCCATGCGATGTGTGCAGTGTGCGTTGATTCCTTGCGATTTGCACGCTATTTGCATGTGTGCTGATTCCATGTCATTTGTGTGTTGATTCTGTGTCGTTAGCATGCTGATTGCGTGTAATTTGCTTGTTGAATGTGTGTTGTCTGCGTGTTGATTGCATGTGGTTTACGTGTTGATTCCCTATAGTTTGCATGCTAATTCCAAGTAGTTTGTGTGTTGATTCCATGCGGCTTGCATGTTAATTCCGTGTGGTTTATGTGTTGATTCCCTGTGGTTTGCATATGGTTTGCACGCTGATTCCTTGTGGTTTGCATGTTAATTCCCTGTGGTTTATGTGTTGATTCCCTCAGGTTTGCGTGTTAATTCTGTGTGGTCTGAGCGTTGATTCTGTATGGTTTGCGTATTGATTCTGTGTGGTTTGCATGTTGATTCCATGGGGGTTGCGTGTTGATTCTGTGCGGTTTGCATGTTGATTCCATGTGGGCTGCGTGTTGATTCTGTGTGGTGTGCGTGTGTGTCCTGTGCATAAAGTGACTCAACAGTGATTTACACCCATAAATCCTTTGCATAACGAGGTCTGGGGAGGGGGTGTGGGGTTGCGTTTTAGCCTCATAACAACTCGTGCCCCTCCCTGGAGCCACCTGGAACGCTGGGGGCAGAAGACCTGTCTTATTAATGGAAAACGGGAGAGGGAGGAGAGGAAAGAAGACAAAACACAAGAGCTATTCTAACATCTTCGGTTTTCACTCCTCCACCCTCCAGACCAGTCAAGGCGGGTGCACATGGAACAGAGAGCCTCCTACATGTCTCTGTGAAAGGAGGGGAGGGGGGGGGTCACGCTGTTACTAACTCAACTCTTTGCCGAATCCTCTTCGGTTTCTTCGATGTGAACCTTGGTTTCCCAGGTTTTTACTCTGAAAAATGGAAAATAAGTCAAATCAGTCACACCAAAACATCAGGACGGACTCTCTGGAGGCTTGGAAAAGAAGTGGAGGCACATTTTGTGTCTTGTAGGTGAATAAGGATGGAATAAACCAGGGCACTCAACAACTGGTATGGAATGGAGCAGTGGGGCAGGCCAGAGTGATACAGGGGAATAAAGTCCTGATGAATGAACAGCTCAGAGGGAGCAACACAAAGCTTGGATACAACGGTGGGGATCTGAGGATTTATGGGAGTTTGCCAACAAAATGCAGTCATAACACTTGACAGATAGCCCGTGAAAGGGCGTTGAAACCACGTGAAAACGATGTGAAAGGCGCTAATATCCAAAGGTAAGGATTATTATTATTATTATTATTATTTCAAGGCCACCCAGCGTTAACTCACTCGCCTGAAATGTGAAGTGCTGCAATTGCTCCTTTTGGTTAAAAGTGTGGTGACTCTGAAGTGGGGGGGGGGGGGGGGGGGTGGGTGGAGGCTGGGGTTTCTGAGTCTGTCAGAAAATAAAATAAACAAAATGTTTATAAATAAATAAAATATTGTAAAGTATCAAATAAATAAAATATTTCCCCAAAATAAAAGCAAGTTTGGGAAACGAGGCCTGTGTATCCCGGCTGCTGCCAGAGGGCGGCGCTGTGCTCCAGTGAGGGCTGTGCTGGTGACAGAATGGACCATTCTCCAGCTCAGCCGCGCCATCTCGTGACTAAACTGGAAGCCCAAACTGCTTCTCGACTTAACCCGCCCAGACCACCGCCAACACCATTCCACTTGGGGAGGCCAACGAGCAGAGGGTTGGCGTAGCCAAGCCAAGAAATGAACACGTGCATGCACGAGGGTCTCCGCGGCCCGAGGGAAGGGACCGTGGCGGAGCCGGGCGACGTTGCGGAGGTGGAGGAAGGCAGAGCGGGTCACGGCACGGATGTGGGGTAGAAAGTAGAGTTGAGGGTCAAACAAGACCCCCCCCCCCGAGGTTCCGGACTGGCTTAGCGAGGTGGAGTGTGCAACCATGGATGGTGATGCTGTCAGCGCCTGAGGTGTGGAGGGGCTGACGGGAGCCAATCGGGAGGGCCTCGGTCTTGTTGGCGTTCATTTGGAGAAAGTTGGCTCTCATCCGGGACTTGATGTCTGACAGACATTGGTGAGAAATTCAGCAGTCATGGTGCTGAGCGCAATTCGTGTCGCCGTGGGCGGAGTGTGTGATTACACCTTTCACTTGACGAACCACAAAACTAACCTTGATCGTTTGAAGGAGAAGCTACTTTTCCGCTTGTCATCTTTGATCTTTCTGACATGCCTTGCCCCGTCCACTTGGTCCATCATCCTCTCCAAAGCCGCTTGGTTGTCCCTGTATAGAGGAGCTACGGAGATGTCCCTCACTGCTCGGAAATGGCCGCAGTTATTCAGATGCTCGTTCTCCAGGCGGAAAAAGTTCCAGACAAAACGCCTATCAGGGAATCAGGAAAATCACTAATGACCATGAGAGTGAGGGGTAGGCCAGGCCAGGAGGGCCTGAGAGCAACATCTCACTTCAGCAAGTAAATTACTTTCTGTTTCCCCCCCACCTTTACACACGCTACACAACTGTGATTGGTCCCCGTCCCACGAGTTGCTAAGTCTGACACTAAACCCAAACTGTCAATAGGTGTTCTTTTGGGAATGGTTTAATAATAGCTAGGTGGACTTGATCATTTCCTGATCATCTCTGATTCAAGCCTGGCACTTACCTGAATACCTCGAGGGGCCCAAAAGTTGTGGTGACAATCTCGGACACGTCAGATTGCTTCATCTGAACAAATATGATGTTGAGGACCCAGGCAATGCGCAGGATCACATCTTGGACCACAGCACAGTAGTAGTAGGCCTGCAGGTGAGAGATCAGATCTCAGACATATAGATAGGAAGAACAGAAAAAGCCTGTAATTACCTGCCCTTTCCCCGTATCCCTTGATAGCCTTCCCTAACAAAAATATATATATGTTTTTCAATTTGTCCTGAAACAGCTGCTTTTCAACGAACTAAATTGTGTTGTTTATGTTGTCTTTTCTCCTCCTCTTTACAGCCTTGGTGGCATCCTACACTGTGAACCTTGACCCCTCAACCATTCTGTTTCCAACTCGGATTCACTCTGGGAGTGAAGGGCACTTGCCTTGTACCGATAAACCGTCTCCTCTCTCAGGAACTTGTTCTCCTTCGTCTTCTTGTCTAACAGCCCCCAGTCCATCTTCAGGTCCCAGCCCACAGTGACAATGGTGCTGACGCAAGCTGTCACGGCCCAGAGGTAAAAATAAATCCTCACACCGAAAGTCAACTGGGAACGATCTGAAGGAGAGAGAGCAGAGTGGAGATAACTCGCTGTTCCAATTCACCCAATTGGAGCACAAGAGCAACTGGAGTCTCAATAGCAACACTGACACCTCGTTTTCTCTAATGCTTTACGAATCAATCACTGCATGCGGAGGCTGAAATAGTCAATGGTTTGGGTTGACCGGTTATCCAAGGGCTTAATCAAATAGCAAGCTGCGTTTTGCCCCACAGCACACACACACTCGCCATCACTCTACAGTACATCCTGTGAAGCATTTTGAGATGCTGTGTTGATGTGATGTGATCAAATGTCAACATTATTGTTATTATTACATTATTACAATTGAAATCACTCTGGAAACGTACTTTTTAAATGGTTTTCAGTAATGGGTCAACCAGACCAGTAACACTGCCACGTTACCTATGAATACCCAGCAGTAAGTAGGAACCCGGGAGTAATGATCCCTACAAATAATAATAATTTGGTCACTCAATCCACGACTGTTTGTGGGACACTGCTGTGCGCCATTAGCTGCTGCGTTACACCCACAAAATACACAGTAACTACACTTTACAGTATATCCTGTGAAGCGCTTTGAGACGTCGCGAAGACATGATAAGGCGCTGTATCAAATGCAAGGATTAATATGAATGGATGTTAGTGTAGAAGGGTTGTCCATCCCCCAGTGCCTTCGCCGCCTCCTCCCTTTCCTCCTTCAAGGCCGGTCTCAAGACCTTTCTCTTTGACCGTGCCTTCAGCTCCCCTCTCGACTCTCTACCCCCTCCTCGCTCCCTCCCTTCCCTCCCTTCACCCTGACCATTTCCCCCTTGCTCGGGTCCTGACCCAACTGTACAGCGCCTTGGGACGTCCTCCCGATGTGAAAGGCGCTCAATAAATGGAATCTTGTTGTTGTTGTTGTTGTCGTTTTATGGAGGGCCGTCTTTACATTTGAGCGCTTGTGACTTGCCTTTCTCTGTTGAATACAGAGCAGCGAAGGTCACCATGATGAAGACGGTGGAATATTTTCCGGCATTGGCTAAATGTGGGAAGGCATCTCCGCTGTCTCTGTATCGCCGCAGACACTGAGCAAATCGGATCCAGGGTGGGATGCACTGGATGAAGCAGGTAACACCAGAGGCATAACTGTTGCGCATGAGCGCGTCTGGGAAGTAGATAAAAAAAGAATAACGTGAGCAATACAGAACCTGCACTGTGCGTCGCAAGAATGAGAGCTATCTGGGGCCCAAAGTTTTTTGCGTCTTGTTCATAGCCCCCACCGCCATTGCCTTAAAACGAGGCTGTATGTAATCCTGAAGAAGATTCGTACATTCAGTTCCAATGCGGAAGACGATTTTCCACAGTTCTTTATCGGGATGACGGAAAACCAGAGACTGGATTTCAGAATTCCCCCCAATTCTGCACCTTCAATTGTAAGACCAGACGATCTGACAGGCAAAGGCTAGGTGGGAGTTAGTAACCGTGAACTCCCAAGTGAGTGAGCAAAAGTCTTTCTCAATGGGACAGATTTCTATTCCACGCTTGTAACTCTCCTACACACAACGTGTAATTCGGTGAATGGTTGCCATGTTTGCCCGTAGATACAATCACTACCCTCGACGGCAGTTCCTTGTGAATTCCTTTTGAGATGTTCCAACACTATAGGCACTATATCAAGTCCAAGGATTATTATAACTTTTGTTTATTATTAAAGCCACAGAGAACATTTGATAATCCTCGGGAACTATGTTAGCTATTGGAACAAGGATGAGATCTATTAAAAGGGAGGACAAGGGAAATCCGAGATCTCTTCCTTCACTCCCTCCCTCTCGGTTGACCAGCCAATGTTGCTTCCCTTTGTCTGAATCTCACTCACTTTTTAGTCACAGACGCCTACCTGCAGGGGGATTCAGCAAGCCCTGTTCGCTCTCCCAGTTCACATCATAGGTGTAGAAGCAGATGATGGACCAGAGGTCGAGGAAAATAGGACCCAGGCTGTTCAGCTGGTCAGCCAGCCAGAAGTCAGCAAAGCCAACCTTGTGGAATGGAGCTGTGCAAATCCGGAACTGGTTCCAAAAGAAATAGAAACACCAAAGATCACCTCATTGTAACAACTCTCAGCCCATTAGTGCGGGAGCTCTGAATTCTGCCACTTTCCCCTTCGGACTTACTAACTAACCTGGGGTTCCTACTCATGTTGCACTCACTTACAGCACTCGATAGACTAGGGAGCCAAGGGAGACTCCTATGTTGTGCTGGTTGGAAGCCACACATTCAGACCCCGTTGCTGTATAATGAGGCGCACTAAGAAAATAGCTGCTGCTCAGTGCTTCCAGGTCACAGAGTTGTTGCTGTGTTTGTTGTACTGTTATATAGAGAACATGCGAATTGTGAAGGGAAGTGACACAAAAGGATTATTAACAACAAATGCTCTGCATTGAAAATAGCAGAATCTCTCACCTGATTCTGCTGCTAACCTTGAGACCGTGTCGCCTTGTAACCCATTCCCCAACTAAAGGCAGTAGTTTTGCTGTGTTAACCTTGTGTTAACCCTCAGACTCTTAACACTTGTCTATCATGGCTCCTCTCAATCTCATCTGATCCAGTGGAAAATGCCTCAAACTAGGCAGCCTCTCCTTAACTCCCACTCTTGTAAATCCTAGTGAATCAGTGTTGCATCCTCTGTGTCTCTACGACACAACTGTTTAATCAGTGCCATTTAGAATCTTGAACTCCGAGATGGACATTCCCGGCTCCCGTACCCTCTTCATCGTGACTCCTGCCCAGTGTGATCATTCCCCGCGCGTTGTTGTGGACCCACTTACCAGCAGCTTCAGCAGCCAGACCCGGGACTTGTAGTAGAAAGTTTTTGTTGGGTTGATGAGCAGCAAGAGCATAAATCCGTAGAGCACCAGTGGGTTGACTTGCATGGGAGTGTGAATGGAAGAGTGGAATAGGCAGGCGAGAAGGCTCAAACACCACAGAATCCCCAGTAACCCTGCAAGCTGAACGGTACACAAGGGTGAAAAACATTCTGTATCTGGCCCTCCCACTACAGTCACGATGAGGATGGGGGGAGATCTCAGAGGGTGGCTGGAACTCTACATAGCAGACGTCAGCAGAGGTAGGGGAGAAAGGTGGTAGTTTCTCCTGGTGCCCTGGCCAACAATTCCCCCGGTTAAAATTAGCCGTGGATGTTTGTGAGACTTTTGTTCGGTGCAAATTGGCTATTGCATCCACTCATAATACGTGGTCACTACACTTCATAGAAATTTGTGTGAAAGTGCTCCTGATGCAACCTGCATTTATAAAGCATTCTGGGGCGCTACACCACGTGAAGGGCGCTATATAAATGCAAGTTGTTTTTGTTGTTGAAAGGTGCTGTATCAAATGTAAGGACTATTATTATGATTATTCAAGTAGGAAGGGAGGAAGGAGGGATGATGGTGAGACTCCTCTTTAATCCAGGAGACAGGTGTGCAGACATGTAATAATGCTCCAGGTCCCTGCCCTTACCTCAAACAATTGCTGGTGGGATAAGTTGTTCCTGGGGTCAAGTTCAAAGATTAAGGTGTGGTTGACCCCAGCCTTTCGCCATCCATAAATGTTGATTCCCAACAGGAAAATAAACTCAATGATGATGAATCCCCCTCTGTATATCCTCAGCAGTGGCCAGAGGCTGGCTTTCTGTGATACGTAGATCGCTGAGGTGAGAAAGAGCAGGTCAGATGTAGTCAATGAATGCGGCGGAACCTCAGGAATCAAGTAACACCAGCGAGATGTAAGGATGGTGAGCGAGCGATCGAAGCTTCGGGTTATCAATGGCAGCCTGAAAAGAGGCGCTGTTATGTGCTCACTCAAGCCCACTGAGTGCTCCTCAAGCTTCCCCAAGGCTGACATGTGAATGGCAACCTCTTGGCCAAGATAGTGCAAGACATGATGTACCCCATTGGAGGGTGAGGGTGGTGGGAGGGGGAAGGAGAGGCAAAAAACAGGTTCCTTCCTTTAGTGCAAAAATGAACAAGTACCAAATGAAATACGAAATGCCTCCTTCGAGACCCATCTCAAGACCCTCCTCTTCGACCGTGCCTTCGGTCACCATCCTTCCCACCTGCCCTCCACCCTCCCCGATCTCCCGGCCCCCAGCTCAGGTCCGAAACACTGATTATTAAGCGCTTTGGGACATCCTCTTGACATGAAACGTGCTGCACAAATCCTGTTCGTTTGTTGTTGAATCACTTCCAAAACACGAATGAACCAACGGTTCGAGTTGCCTTTGAGTCAAGCCACCGGTTCCGTGCTTTCGGAACAATCCGCCCGACCACCGTTCACCCCCATCCAACCCCAATGATATAATTGGCCACCGTTGACCGGTAATAACAGCAAGCTGAGTGAGGCTTGGTCTGACCAGTGAGAGAGACTGGCTGTAAATATTTAATGGAATGTAAGTGCCTCTTCAGAGAACGCTAGAGCTGAGATAAAAATCGAATGTCCTCTTTAAACTATTAACGCTACGCCTCTGCTAGTAACAGGAGCCAGGAGCTGTCCACATGCGGGCGTGTGTGTGTGTGTGTGTGTGTTTTGGATGGGGTGAAGTTGCGCTGGAAGCTGTGAAACAAATACCGAAACCTTTGCCCTGTAGCCTCTCACGCATCGTCTCTGGACTAATTACCACTCGCTCCCAGCCTGGGCTGTGTTACCGCAGCCAGCCGTTTTCAGCTCTGCGCTGTGACCTGATCTGCCCGCCTCACTGAATTATTCACGGAGGCCCTGTCAGGAGTGTTGTTTACAAATATCTCAAGAATACGGAGTGAAGCTTCGCTAAGGAGCCCGGGCTCTCTCGCTGGCTCACTTGCTCGCTCGGCTGATCACTACCTTTGATGATGATCAGGACAGCCAGGGCCAGGATCAATCCGCACTCCATTCCCACGCGAAAGGTCGTCCAGACCGGGGTTGGCTGAGGGGCACAAAACACGGTGGGTTAACGACAGTCATTACAGATTCTTGAAAAGCTCTGAGTTGCTATCCAGAGAGACACCAGCCAAGGTAAATGACACAGGGTTTTTTGAGAGGCTTGAGTGGCAGGGTAGAGATCACTATAGGGGCAGGGCAGACAACAACAACTTCCATTTATGTTAAGCACCCATCTTGGCGCCATCAAGATTTAGAGGAGATCACAGGGTCCACCACAGTTGACTCAGCTCCACTCTCTCTTTACAAGGGATGTCATGAGGGAGTAGGCTCAATCTTGCTTACCCTAACCCCCACTTTACCCCCCCATCCCCCACCCCCACCACCACCACTACACACACAGGAGGTTTGATCCACTGACCTGCGCTACACCGAGGGGTGGTACCCTCAACCTCTTCATCGCCTTGGCTCGGTCTCCTCCTTCCAGATGATGAGTGTAGAGGGACTGGGAGGCAAGGAAACAATTATTGTTAATGACAATAAACTCCATTTTCTTCTCTGAGAGGAATTCAATACCACCGCAGCTTCTAGCACTGGGGTATTGGGGCTGACTAAAGCTCTGAGCCCCTTCTTGAACTCTAATAGTCTTTCTCCTCCCCCTCCTCACACACAGATATAGAAACAGGAATAGGCCATTCAACCCCTCGAACCTGTTCTGCCATTCTATAAGATCACGGCTGATCTGCACTCAAGTTCAATTACCCGCCCTTGCTCCGTATCTTTTAATCTACACACACACACACAAATATTCTGTTTGGACTTACATTTTAAGACAAAACGGTGTTACAGGCAAAGACTGAGTGGAATTTTGGGGCCTGTCACATTCAGACATAGACTCCCTTTCCTCACTGAGTGACACACCGAAGTGGATCGATAGGAAAATACAAAAGGGCGATAAAGAAGAAAAGGAAGATTTATGAAGCTGGTAGTGAGACAGGAGACGGTGACCGTGGGGCTCAGTTAAATGCCGCTCTCACCTCCACCTCCGTTATGAGCTGGTCAATTTTTTTACTGGTGTAAACTGGGGAGATCTCCACGTGAACAGCTCGCCAGCCCGCGCCCTGCACTGTCGCGAACATCTTGTCGTATTTCTTCAGGATTTTGCAGAAACCAGTAACGTTGAGATTCTGGAAGGGAACAAGTAGGTGGGACCCGGCAGTCAGTCTATGCCCTGTGAGCGGGGCTTATAGGATATTATTCGGGGCGTAGTGGTCTGAATGCGCGACTTCCAATGGTGGAGCGGAGGGTGTGAGGGACAAGCAGGAGGCCGGTCGAGCGGAGGCGACGGGGGTGTAGATTGGGGAGTGAGGAGGTCGGAGGGTTAGGGAGGTGCCAGGGAGTGAAAGGATTTGAACACAGGTGTGAGGATCTTGAAGTTGATCTGTTCGGTGATGCGGAGCCTGGCCAGAACTGGTGAGATGGGGGTGCGGAGTTTGGTCCGGGTAAGTATGCGAGTGGCATCTCTGCAAATTTAAACACCAATGGCCACCTTCCTGTCTCTCTCTCTCTCCCTCGCTGTCTCTCTCTCTCTCTCTCTCTCTTGCTTAGCATCCAACCACATCCCTGTAAACGCTCTGTGATGTTACCCGAGCTGAAGGGCTTTATATAAGATGTTGTTGTTGTTGATGCCAATCAAAGCATTCACTCCAAACTTCCAAAGAAAAAGGTTATGGGCTTGCAGCTTGTACATTCTGCCAAGCTCTTTGAGATATCTCGAAGACGTGGTAAGGCGCCATATCAAATGCAGGGATTATTTTTATCCTTTTAACATTTTTCCTCAGGGCTTTTGAACAATGATACACAAGAGAAGGAAAATGAACATGGCACGTCTAGTTATACTTAGCATCTCCTTTACTATTCTTCCAAATCTGAAGTGCTCACTTGCCTCGATGCACGCCTGCGCTGTGTTTGCTGAGTCCGTTGTGTGTAACATAAGCTAAATCTCATAGATTATCTGGATTCTCTTAACAATGGGTTGGATGAACTTTCCACCTTTCTGCTGTCTGGTTGCTGCCAGCAATGAAACCTGATGGCACTGCAAAGTACCTCCAGATCTGATATCGCTTCGACACAATGAAGCCTGGTTTGCTTTTTGTCCTGCACCAGTCGAATATTTAGAGCTTGAGACCTCTGTGCGCTGTAACTATGCAGTCCAATATAATCACTGACCTAGTTTTTGCCGTAATGAGCTCCTTCATAATCCCTGACGTCTCTTTGGAATAACCTATGTCTGCGATGATTGCAATGCCAACTATATGTTAGCATTATGTTGGCGTTTCACCCACACAATATACAATCAATTCACTTTACAGTATACTTTGTGAAGCTCTTTGAGACAACTCGAAGACATGATAAGGCGCTGTATCAAATTGGTATTGGATTGTTGGAATTCCTGTCTTTTTTACATGACGTGCTAAATGGAGTTTCCTGTTTGCCTGTTCAGGGCATTAGGGAGAATGAGACTATTTGAAGAGAGTTTCTCTTAGTGTCCTGGCTAACAATCCTCCAGTCTATTTAGTCATTCATTACCTTCATTACCTCAAACACTGTTGAACCAGTTGCTCTCTTACCTGGTAGTTTTGCAGTAGAATGAGGCTGAGGTAGAGTTCACTGAAGGCCAGCTTCAAGTCACACATGGTCTTGTGTCGAGCCCTGTGCCTGTGTGGTCTGTAGAAGACATTCCTTCTATGATGCCCTGAGGCTTTCAATCCATCATCTTTCTGTACGTCGAGGACTACCTCGAGTTCACTCTGTAATGTTGCTAATCGCCTTTGTGCTTCAGCAAGTTTTTCTGGGGGCAAAAAAACACAAATATCTTGAACAACAACAACAACAACTTGCATTTATATAGCATCCTTCACTCTGGATGGTGTCTCAGAGTGCTTCGATGAGCAGACTTGGTTGATACTACTTTTATTACTGTTATTATTACTATTATTATTATTGCTCTACTTGTTCAATTGTATTCAGATACAAGTATGGATCCATGGCATCATGGCATAGAATGGTTCATGAAATAACATAGTAGACTGAGCTCTTGACATGGTCAATTCCTTTGACCATTTGTAAATGTTAATCCAAATATGGGAGGGTTTCAGACAATGACTTATAACGCTCATCAGATGAGATATTAAACAAAGGTTTTGTTTGCTTTCAGATTGACTTGAAAAGATCCCAAGATTCTACAATATTTGAAATGAAAAGGGAAGTTTCTCCAAGTGCTCTGGCCAACAATCCTTCAGACTAATTGGTGATTAACTTCACGACTGTTTATGTAAGTTCTGGTAGTATGTTCAACCCCTGAGCGCATCAGAGCTGAATTCAACCCTTCTCATTCGGATGAAGAGGCCCTATGGCCCATTTCATCTCATCTATCCACAATGCCCCTTGAAATAGACAGTGATCAGGATTTAGAACATTTGTCTGATTTTCCTAGTTCAGAGGTGATGAGGCTGATTGTATCCCCAAATCCTGCTCCTGATTATCTCAGCTAACTCAGCATCAAGCTTTAGTCAAATCTTGGACTGTATAGGTCCTGCGATTATCAACTGCTCTCACATTTTGGGTTTGGAATCATAAGGACTAGGAGCTACAGTGAATTGAGACATGCTGACCAGCTGAGGGTTTACCTGCATAAAATGTGTTTATTTTCGTGAGTTCCTTTTCACTTATCTGGAAGAATCGTTCCTCAAGTGACGTGTAGTATCGTTGAATGACTGACGGCTCTGTAACTGTGGAGGAAGATGGAGATATCAAGGGCACATTTAAAATGGACGTTAGTGTCACGTGCACAATCTACGGGGCAACCCCAGTACGCTGGTTCGGATTAATAAACTCCCATAAATTGTGACAAAATGGTGCCCATCTGGTTGCCTCTGATGTCACTTTCTGCTCATTGTACGCACGCGCAGGAAGTACTGCTGATGTTATCCAACTTGCAAAGTGACGTCAGCAGCACTTCCTGTCCGAGGGTGAGTGCGCATGAAACAACATGCAGGAAATTATATCAGCAACACTTCCTATCCGCAGCGCGCACGCCCTCAACGTGCAGGTAGTGACAGTGCTGACCCAGTGAACGTTATTTAGGGCAGAAAACCACTTGGTCATCGCAGGACACTCTGTTTAGTCCACTTCCAGTATTGTGTGCGTCCACAGTACACACAATACAAATGGATCTGAGCTTCAAAGTAGGGTTACTGTGAAGCGCTCTGAGACACCGTCCAGTGTGGAGGGCGCTATATAAATCCAAGTTATTGTTTTTGTTGCCCTGGACTCCATCATCTATCTCCACCTCTTACCGTCTCCAACAACTCTGACCAAATTCCCTTCCTATTGGAAGGATAGTCTCAAACCCCGAAGAGCTCCTGTTTCTCAGACAGGTGTTCAGAAGCAGCTGCCTTGTTACATGCCACCAAGTAGCTCTATTGTCTATTACAGGAGACTCATTTGTTTTGGGACAAATAAATATCCACGGCACAAATAAAACTCTGGCCTGATTAATAATACATGGGAAATGAATGCCCATTCGGCCATTAATGTTTCAGTACAGAGGTTATATACAAGTGCTGCCAGGGTAATGCCCAGACACGAGAGCAGCTCTGTGTCGTTAATCAGATACATTGATCTCATGATTCTTAGGACAAATGTGTTCATTGTTGTTAGACATGGACGGAGAATGAAATTCATCAAGAAGCTGCTATTATTATTACTTATGCAATGTGGTAACTATGAGGATCTACTGAGACAGCTGTGTCCTTTGCACCTGCCTGCTATCAGGTTCACAGCCATGTATAGAGCTGGTTAGAGAAACAAAAGCTGCCTGGTGTTGGCAGTCTGCCCAGTGAAGCTTTGCAGTGGACAGGAACCTTTCAACAGTGATGCCTTGTGTACAAATAGCCGAGCATACAAACACTGGAATTGCAAGAGGCTTAGAATTATTATTAATAATTTGATTATAAGTGTTTCACGTTGGGAGGATGTCCCAAAGCACTTCACAGGATGTACTGTCAATTGTAGTGACTGTATTTTATAGGTAATTATTGCCAGTCAATTTTCATGCAGCATTGTCCAACAAAAGCCATTGAGTGAGTGACCAATTTTGGTTGGGGGATTGTTGGCCAGGACACTGGGAGAAATACCCTTACTCTTCGAATAATTCTAAGTAATACTTAACATTGACTTGAACAGACAGAGTGGACCTTTGTCTAATGTCTCATTCAAATGAAAGTACCTCCTGCAGTGCAGTGCTGCATTGGAGTGTCAGCCTAGACTACATTTGATCAAAGGCGAGAGTGGATGGAAGCCTGACTGATGCCTGGAAGATAGTCAAGACTCTGGCTCTGTTAGATCCTGGATTGTGAAACAAGTGTTACATTTACATAGTGATGCGGAATGGGCAATCTGATTCATACTTCCCCATTCCACATTGCTTCAAACCAGGGCTGGAGCACCTCACACTGATGATTTTGTGCATGTAGTTACGTGAGCAGAATGGCAGGAACAGGTGTTTGATTTGTTTTACAAGATGAATTTGGATGACGATATCCCTTCGGCCCAGTTGATCTCATTCATCCTGAGTGCCCGCCCTTCTGTCTCTCCAGTGCAGCATCAAGCTGTTTCTTAAATGAATCATCCTTCCTGGTAACTCATTCCCACCTGTGTTAATTACCCTCTGTGTGTATAGATATACAGTACAGCCTGATTACAATGTGATAGTTGGAGTCCATCAAATCCAAACCAGCTTTATAATCCAGTGATAGACATAATAATCCTTGTATTTGATACAGTGCCTTATCACGTCTTCGAGACGTCTCAAAGAACTTCACAGAATATAGTGTAAAGTGAATTGACTGTAAGTTTGTGGGTGAAATGTAGACATAGGCACATCCCCACAGAACATAGGTCTTTAATGAACAAGCCTAGATGAAATATGAGATTAGCACACATTACTTCCTCACAGAGCAGTGGATATGCAGCTCAGACTCCCAACAAGAGCAGTAGATCCTGTGTGAATTGATTGCTGCCCACAGGTCAAATTGTCTGTCCACACTCATTACAATACAATGTGTATAGCGCATTTTCACTCACTGAAAAATGACCAACTACAATCTGAGATCTAAGAATGTACCTAATATTCAATGAGTAAAGGCTTCAGGACAAATTGGGAGTTTTTGAGGTAGGAAACATAACTTTTTTAACCATAAAAGGAAAAGACTGAACTGAAAGCAAAAATGAATATCAGCATTCGGAAATAGATTTTTTTTTTGGTCAGCGAGGACACACGCAGAAACCTATCACCATGTTAAAGAGTATCCAAACCAAACTGAGATTCCATGCATCCCATCTACACACGGAAATCCCAGAGAGAGATTGTAGGAGTGGAATGCGCACTACCTCCCTGAAGGGATGCATCCTGCTTATCTAATTCCGGAAAGTATTAGGCACAGGACGGCCACAAGCCAAGGCTTGGTGACCCCAGAGTGTGTGTTGGGGTACTGCTGGAGTCCAACCAGTTAAGTAGGTTCAGGTCTGCAAATTCACAGTAAATATTGGGATTTCGGACTGACACAAAGTCCTTGTGTTTGTACAGGGAGCGGTAAAGAGTGGGGCCTATTAGTATTATTGGCGAGAGGATGGGAGATAATCTGATCTTCCTCGATTAGCCTGAACAGTCAGATTTGTGATCACGGATTTCTGAAATCTGCAAAAACACTATTTCAGTGAAAGAATAGTAAATCTGCGGAACAAACTCCCTAGGGAGACAGACAGTGGAAGCAGACAGAGTCAATTCATTTAAAAATGCACATTCGATTGATTTTTTTTTTAGAAAATAATATTTTGGAAAATAATACATGAGTAATTTGAGACTTGACATGTCTAGTACGCTTGGAAGAACTGGGCAACTTTGAACCTAACGTTTCCAAAGCTTTCCACTGTGACAGTGGATGAATCCGTACAGAATTAATTGCTATTAACATCGCCATTATTGCAACCTGTGACTCCCAGGATGGTTGAAGGCGGACGAGATGGTCTTTTTTTCGTCGAGCTATTCCTATGTTGCTATGCAAGCTGCCAAAGTGAAAATAAAACACCAAAGTCTGGAGGCAAAACAGACAGCCGTGGGAAGGCAGCATCCTGTCTGCATCTTTGTTCTGTACTTATAGAAGCAGCTTATAGAAATCACAATTATGGCAGAGACTGGAATACCGAATCTAGTGGCTGAGATACGCTCTACTGCCACCATCACGTGGAACCCAAAAATATCATAAGAGCATTGTTGCTCTGAAACACATCACAAACCCATCTCAGGTATCTTGTTCCTTCCTGACCTGAAATCCCACATTCAGCAGGATGGGCGTCTAAATAATTAATGCATCAGAAATGCTTCGGAATATTTCCCTCTCAGCGATCCCTGTATACAAAGACATTTTCAAAATTCATGTGCTTACTGTAGGAAGCTCGGAATGCACAGGAGCAAAGTGTACCATTGAATCTGTGTGAATGTGTTGGTACACGACTGCGACATGATAGTAATTTAATGCTATTCTATAATCTGTTATTTTCCTCAATCGATTCCATTATCAAACTGTTTTTTTGGTCAGATGGGTACCTGAAACGTGCGGAAACCCATCACCATGCTTAAGAGTATTTAAACCCAGACTCAGAGTTCTGCATATATATGCTACCTACACACAGGTACGTATTTAAATATTGTATGACATCAAATAGCTATCTAATTCCCTCTTGAATTTGCTGACACAATTCACCCCCCTGCGTAGCTAACTCCACACATCACTGCTCTCTGTATAAAGTAACTGAAGTAATCCGTTCTCCATCCCATTTTCTGAGCTTGGGTCTATTCACCCCCTGCCCCCCACCCCCACCACCATATTATTACAGTAATTTATTGTAAAGGTTATTAAACACATTATTAGGGTTCACTTCTGAACATCAAATCTTGTAGATATTTTTTATAAAAACTATTATTGGGCTAATTGTTTCACAAACCTTGCGTTTCCATAAAAAGTTTCATGTCAAGCAAAAGGCTTTTTAGCAATGCTTCTATTTTACCTTAACAGAAAAAAATCTTTGAAAGCGTAGCCACCTGCAGTAAACCAAGATTGTTGGGTGTTGAATTATTGATGGGAGGGGCTGATTTCATATTTCATCTAGGGTAGTACGGGACTATTAATTACCTCAGTGCCTCTCTACCTGACGGGACTGTCGCAGTCATGTACGAACACGTTCACACGCTTAATTATTTATTGCAGCCCTGTATTTTATCGACAGATTTCGAGAATAAAATGGTTGCCGGACATCGAGCATTATATTAGATTTTCTAATTTGCGCGATGTTACCCGAGTGTCTACGACAGATATTCACGTAAGAATATAAATAAGTAAACACCTTTCTCTCCTTAACCAAATTCAGACCACCTCTTACCCCTTTCACAAAAGAATTCAGATTGACTTGTTTCGGTTTCTCTAGTCGTTTCATTGATCTTTGCTGCACAGATTAACTGCTGTGTTTGCCTACGTAACAACAATAGTTACGGCTTGGAAACAACCAGTTCAGCCCAACTTGTCCGTACCTCACCTATTCTCCGCTCCTATATCTCTCTATTTCCTTCTCATGTGTGTGCCCTTCAAGTCTGCTCTTATGATTCTCTGATTAGGTACATTCGATGATACAGCCTGGCTCAGGGGTAGCGCTCTCGCCTCTGAGTTAGAAGATAGTGGGTTCGAGCACCATGTTGGGACTTCGAATCACATGGACTAAGCTGACACTCCAATGTAGCGCTGGGGGGTGTTGCATTGTTGGAGGTGCCGTGCTTCGGATGAGATGTTAAACCGAGATCCTAAACGCCTCTTCAGGTGAATGTTAAGGATCCCGTGGCAGTATTCGAAAAGAGAAGGGAGTCTCTCCCGGTGTCCTGTCCGACAAATTCCCCTAAATATAAATTAGTCACTCATTCTACCGCCGTTTGTGGGACATTGCTGTGCGCAATTGGCTGCTGCATTTTGCCCACAAAATACAGTCAAATCCACTTTACAATATAACCTGTGAAGCTCTTTGAGACATTGCAATGACGTAGTAAGGCGGTATATCAAATGCAGAGATTATTATTAATATTATTCAGGTGCACTTCAATGGTTAAATCTTTCAGAATTTAAATAAAAACATCTTTCATACAATGTTAACACTAACATCCAGTCCGCACTGACTATAAACATGAGTCGTTGTGTTTTTGAGAATCCTATTCAGTTGCTGTGGATGATAAGGAATCGAAAGCTCCATCCAACTCTGTAACACCTGTGGTTAGTGCTTACCTTCGGACACTGGTGCCTGCTCCTGGGCTACATGCAGCATCTTCTTCAGAGCCTGTTCAATAGAAACATACAACAATATAAGTGTGCTGGCGTAGGTACACACTAAACATCCCCCTCCCCTCAATTCCTGCTTATTTACTTATGCCCTAGATGTACAAGGACTCTTGCTTTGATCATTCACTGTGTAACTGTACTGACATTGCAGTGTTGACTGTTTGCACTGTGGAGACTGATCATCAGAGATACCAGTACTTTTGACAACTCAGTAGGTTGGCCCCTGACCTTTTACTTCTGGTGTCTGTGTTGAAAGCCAACCCAGACTGATAGGATGAAAGTTTCCTCTTTGCGTTTCCTGTGCAAGTCCTGTGAGAGTGATGTGTGTTTGAGGTCATTTCAGCCCATTTCCCATAAGGAAATGGGCTCACAGTCTCGCCTTGCTCATAATTTGGCACTGAGTTTCAAATCTGACTTAGAGAGGGCAGGACAGCTTGTGTGAGAAATGGAAAAGTTCACACGAACAGGGTAAATACATTTCCAAGGTAGAATTTCTTTAAGGGAGCTTTACTCTCTATTTAATCCTAGTGTCCTGTCCTGTCACCATACCCCTAAATACCTCTACAATGTAGGTGATCGCTTTCTCTCTCTCAAGCTTCCCGAATGATTCCACTTTCTACAACCTGAGGGCAGAGCGTCCATTTCTATGCTCTGTGGTGAAGAAATACTTACAGACCTCAGGACGCACTGTCTTTGATCTGATTTGAAGACTTGTGCCCTGGCGAGGAAGTCTGTGTGACTGAATATTTCCAAATAATCAGTAGCCAGAAGTGGCCACTGAAGCGAATACCACAAGAACATTTAAAAAGGGAATCGGATACGTATTGGAAGAAATGCAATATAAAAGAGCATAGGGAAAGAGGAGGGAATTAGAAATGTCAGGCACAGAAGAAGACCATTTGGTGCATTGGTCTAATAGGGTTGAGAGTGGAGAAGCCATAGCATCAGCAGGGACTCAATGGGTCAAATGGCCTCCATTTGTTGCCATGCCTATGGTTTTATGAATCATAAAAGTCAAAGGACAAAAGTCCTTGAGTTGTTAGAATAAAACAGTGGATAATTGAGGCTGACATTTCGGATTATTAAGTGAGTTGAATTTGCCTGGTTCCAACCAGGAATATGTGATTGAGACAATCTCAGATGCAGGCCAATCAATCTTCAATCCTTCAACCTTTCGATGAGCTGTCAAACTGACTTCCCAGTATATTCTTCAGCCAATAAAACCAATTTCTGATCCCAGTGGAAATTCGGGAGTAGGGAGTGGAGTGAGTTGGGGATGGGGAGGAAGGAAGCATTGCAAATATAAAGTTACATCACAAAACTCAAGAAAACATTACACCTAATACAAGTTAATGTCAGCATAAAGCTTAACAGCAAAATTCAGTAGGGAAATAGATGGAAAGGAGGTAGGATAGATGGAAAGCAATATAACTAAAGTATTGTGAATGAAAAAGATCAGGGAACTAAGGGGGAAATGTTGATCAGGTTAATGCTCTAATACCATTTGTTGGGGGTTATTTTAAACCTGCGGCTAGGGTCAATATTACAGTAATTGCACTCTTTTGATGTTTATGCAGTTTTATTACTGTAATATCAATGGGCTTTTTCAGCCTCATAGGGCTTCAGCTAGAATTTCCGTAACCAGTTTGTCTGAGGGGAAGCGAATCTCCTCCATCCCTCAGGGCTCTAAGGATTAAAATTAGTTCTGCAGTATTGTGCTTCATATTATAATATAATAAAATATATTGAGCATTACCATATTGTCAGCATCAGCCACCGACTTTAGCTCTCTCCTCGGCACACGAAAGACGGAACTGATAGTTGCAAAATGTACAGAAGTAAAATCTGACAGTAGTCAAATGATCGAATTAAGCAGCTCTTAAGGACTCACTTGAGAGTTCTCAGTGCAAACCAGACAAGAGTTTGATTTTAACAGCCCACAAACTTCCAGAGCATAGGAACATAGGAACAGGAGTATTCTATACAGGAATATGTATATTAGCATCTCTAATCAAGTCCCAATGTTTGTACAGTATCCTTGAATTGTGTAGAAAAATATCCTTTCTCTAGAAAACAAAAACAGTAGCTGATATTGAATTACAACTGAATATCAAAATTGCGCACATACACACACACACACCACCAAAGATTTTGTTCAAAGCAATTAAATGTCTAGACTGCACACGAAAGCGATTATTTTTTCCATGAAATATCTTGAATGTCCGAACAGATCAGATCAGATAGATCACTTCACCTCATAGTCGATGTACTGTTTTCTCCACTCCGGCGTTAGGTGAACCGACAGATGTTCAGCAAACTTCATGGCTTTGACAAGCACCGGGCATTAGGGATCCTCAGGGGTAACATATCAGAAGAAAAAGAAACGAGTAAAAGAAACCTCTTCCGCGAAAGAGCGACAAATAGGGCAAATCGGAGGTGTGCGTTTTTTTTCACGCCCCCCCAGGGATTTTTTTTTTCTGTGTGTGTAAAAGGACTTGGTGATGCTGAGACCTGTACGTCGATCCCTGACACCTCTCTCCGGCTGCAGGTACCTAGGTAACAGAAACTAGATAGCCGAGCATCAATAAATAATAAGGAGCCCACCCATAACAGAGTGCACTGGAATATGCAATATGGATTTAAAAGCGCAGGTGTTTGTTGCTTTATTCATATAAAGAGTGTGTTCCAATGTGTTTGAACTATAAGTAAAGTAAAAAAAAAAAGTTTTAACAGGGATGAAGTTAGATTATTGTTCCATGCAACCAATTCCCACAAAATTCCTTCTACCTGTTTTTATCTAGAAAACTGTTTCACTTGGCATGAACCTGTCCAGCTCCTTTTTGAAAACCTTTATTATCACATCTCAACCTTTCACCGAAAATAATTCCTACTCGTTTCTCATCATTGTCCTTATTTTGCGGACACGATGACCTGTTTTGTTGTTGAATTGTGCAGATGGCAGCAAATGTATTGCATCCAAAATTTTCCAACCCTCGGCTGTCAGCCTGGCTCACTTGGTAGCATTCTCGCCTCCGAGTTAGAAGGCGCGTGGATTCAAGCCCCACGTCAGAACTTTAGAGTCATCGTCTAAGCTGACACTCCAATGCAGTGCTGGGGGGGCAATGTATTGTTGTTGCTGCAGTGCTTTGGATCAGATATTAAACTGAGGTCCAGCTGCCAGTACAGGCGGATGTTAAAGATCCTGTGGCAGTACTTGAAAAGAGAAGGGGATTTCTCCTGGTGTCCCGGCCAACAATCCCTCAGATTAAATCGACCATTTGCTGCACGGCTGTTGGTGGGGTATTGCTCCGTGCACGTCGGTTGCCACGTTCAACTGCAAATACAGCTACTGCACTTTACAGTAAATCCTGTGAGGCACTTTGCGACGTCCTCCTGATGTGAAAGGTACCAGATCAAAAAGCAACGTTTATTTTATAAGCGTAAATCCACATACAGTAAACGTAGCTCACCAATGCCCTCATGTGGTCAAACAATACACTTGTCTCCTTGTGGTCTATACTTTGCATCCAAACAGTTGGATCAGATGTACAGTTTTGGTTACCAATCATGGGAAGGATATCATTGACCTTGAGAAGTTACCGAGTGAATAGGTTAGCGGCAATTTATTTTTGATGGCAAATGCTTTAAGATAGTCCTGCTGCCTTGACGTTGAAGTTACCGAGGTTAATGAAGGTGAGATCCGATTCAGGCAAACTGTTCACTTTGGTGGCGGAATCAAATAGTCGGATTCCAGTTAAAATTTACGGAGTCTATGGGGGGGAGGTCACACAGAACATTTATTAGACTAATTCTAATCGATTTGCGGAATAAGTTATCAGGAAAAGCCATTGAAGCAGATGGATACAAACAGCAATGGGGTCAAGGGCAATTAGACATGTTTCTGGAGAGAAGAGACGGAGAGACATGATAATGGGGGTTGAGAATTATAAACGGCAATGGGAATGTTCCCCTAATCACATTTGTAAAGCGCTTTTCTCATCAGGAAAACGTCCCAAGGCGCTGAACAGTCAGGGATCAGGACCCGAGCATGGGTGGGGTGGGGCAGGGTTGGGATTAAGGAGGGCAGAGGAGGTAGGAGGGCGGCTGAAGGCACGGTCAAAAAGGAGGGTCTTGAGTCGTGCCTTGAAGGAAGCAAGAGAGGGAGCAAGGAGAAGGGATTGCGGGATGGAGTTCCAAAAAGTGGGGGCAGAGAGGCTGAAAGCCTGGCCGCCGATATTAGGGTAGGTCGGGCGGAAGACCTGGAGCAGACTGGAGCGGACAGATTGATAGGGGGTCAGCAGGTCAGAGATGTTGAAGGGGGCAAAGCTGTGGAGGGCCTCAAAAGAGAGGACGAGGATTTGAATTCTCTCCTCTGAGGGATTGGGAGCCAGTGGAGCCGGGCGAGGGTGGGGGTGATGGATTTAATAAATAGTTCATTTATTATAACCAGCAGCCAAGCGGCAACAGTTTAATGTTCAATGGAGTGTGTGCCTATCTCAGTCCACCTCCATCTCGCAAGTTGTCTCAAATTTGTAATTTTGTTGTTATTATTAAAGTGATAACATGTTATATCAAATGCAAGGGTTATTATCATTTTATATTATTTTAGGTGCCAGCCTGGCTCAGTTGGTAGAACTTGTGCCCTTTGAGTCAGCAGGTTGTAGGTTCAAGTTCGCGTTGGGATTATGGAAACAGTGGCGTCTCGGCTGGCATTTCAATGCAGCACTGGGGGTGCACTGCATTGCTGGAGGTGTCATCCCACAATCAGATGTTAAACCAGGGTCTTGTCCATCTGTTCAAGTCGACGTTAAAGATCCTGTGGCCCGATTTGAAAATAGAAGGGAGTTTCTCCCGGAGTCTTGGCCAACAATCCCCCAGATTGTTCATGGCAGTTTGTGGGCAAATTGGCCGTGGAGTTCTCCCACAAGACACACAGTCATTGCACTTCACAAAATCCCGTGAAGCGTTTCGAGACTTCCTACTGAATGAAGCGAAAGCCGCTGTAAGAAATGCGTAAGGATTAATGTTATTGTCATCAACGTCATCAATAACTAAGCTGCTGTGGTGGTGACAATTTCGCCCACAAAATACACAGTCAATCCGCTTGACAGTATATCCTGCAAAGCGCTTTCAGACGTCTCAAAGATGTGATAAGTTGCTGTATCAAATGCAAGGATTATGATTATTATTATTATTATTTCTGACAGTGTGGGTGGGGGCGGAAGAGAGACAAACACACACACACAGACAAAGACGCAAACACAGACACTCATGCAGACACACAGGGGCACAAACACACCTACACACATACATACACATACACAAACATACAAGCAGATACACACACATACACAGAGATACAAACACACACACCCACACACACACAGAGACACAAACACACACATACACAGAGATACACATACACACAGACACAAACACACGCACATATACACACAGAGACACAAACACACACAGAGATACACAGAGATACACATAACACACACACAAACACACACACATATACACACAGAGACACACACACACAGAGACACACAGAGATACACATAACACAGACACAAACACACACACATATACACACAGAGACACAAACACACAGAGACACAAACACACACACAGACACAAACACACACACATACACAGAGATACACATACACAGAAACATACACAGAGACACAAACACATACACATACACACAGAGACACACATACCTACACACAGACACACACACACACAGAGGCACAAGCAAAGACTACAATGACCGTGAGCCCTTGCGTCGCGGGGGGGTGCGTGCGCAGCGGCTCCCGGGGGGGCGGGGCTGAGCCGGGGGGGGGGGGGGGGGGAGTGTCAGAGGTTACTGGCGGTCAAGCGGCGCGAATCGCGGCGGAGAGGCCGAGGCCTGAGGAGAGGCCCGGGGGGGGGGGTGGGGGGAGAGATGGGTCCGGGCGGCGGTGTGAGTTGCTGAGGCGGGAGAGGGAGAGGAGAGGGAGAGGCCATGTTCGTGCAAGAGGAGAAGATGTTCGCCGGCAAAGGGCTGCGGCTCCACATCTGCACCATGGAGGGCGCCGAGTGGCTGCAGGAGGTGACCGACGACACGAGCATCGAGAAACTCAAGGAGCGCTGCCTGAAGCACGTAAGCCAGGCCTCGCCCCCCATCCCCCCCCTCGGCCCGGCCCGGCCCCCCCCCCCCCCACACCCCACACCCCACCCCGGCCCTCCCCCCCCCACCCCGGCCCTCCCCACACCCCAACCCACCTCACTCCACCCAGGCCCGGCCATTCCCCCCACCCCTTCACCCCCCCCCCACCCCGGCCCTCCCCCGCCCCTCACCCCACCTCACTCCACCCCACCTCACCCCCGCCACCTCTCACCCCACCCCACCCCTGCCCTCCCCACCCCACCTCACCCAACCCCTCACCCCCCCCACCCCTCACCCCACCTCTCCCCTCTCTCCCCCTTTGCCCCCTTTCCCTGCCCCCCCCTCTCTCTCTCCCCCCCCTTTGCCCCCTTCTCTCCCCCCCTTTGCCCCCTTCTCTTCCCCCCCCTTGCCCCCTTCTCTCCCCCCCTTGCCCCCTTCTCTCCCCCCCTTGCCCCCTTCTCTCCCCCCCTTTGCCCCCTTCTCTCTCCCCCCTTGCCCCCTTCTCTCCCCCCCTTTGCCCCCTTCTCTCCCCCCCCTTGCCCCCTTCTCCTCCCTTTGCCTCTCCCCACCCCCTCCTTTGCCCCTCACGCAGGGTAGCGTCTCAGATCGCTTGAAGGGACCTGAGTGCCTTATGTTTGCGTCTCTGACTATTTCAAATGTTGGGGCAGATCTCTGGGGTGGAACATTGTGGGCTCGAGCTCCCAGCTTTGGGGGAGCACTGGATCATCTGTGGTGCTGTATTTTGGTTGAGGCTCGTCTGGGTGACCCTAAAGATCCCGTGGCACGCTTTTGAAGCAGAAAGTGCTCCTGGTATCCTGGCCAATAGTCTTCCCAAAGGCGGCAACAACAACCAAAAGATTCATTCATTAATCTCACTGCTGTTTCTGAGACAGAACTACAGGTGTACTTCAGCTGCGGAGTTTGCCGGTACAGCGCTCGCTGCCTTGTGGCGCGAAAGGCTTTGCGACATTTGTCGTGGGTGTTATCGCCGTGCCTGTGCAATTTTAGGCTGGAATTTTGGAACCAAGATTGTCGCTGAGGTGTCAGGGAACGAGCTGGAGGGAGAGCAATCCCCCAGGACCCAGCCGGTCGGCGAATCCATTTCACGTGGTGCCAGAACAAAACGGGATTCATCCCGGTTCTCTGGAAGTGGTGCAGCGCTTGCTGACAGGCTGTCAGTTGACTTTGGACGGCTTTGGGAAGCCGTCACCCAGCACGAGTAACGAGTCAAAAATCAACTTGCAGCCCCACTCAGGAATCTGAACACGATTATTATAGACTGGATTCATCGGTCTCAAACTACATTACTAGTCTTCATGTAACCTAATACTCTTCCCAAAATGTACGCTAATAAGGGAACAGGGCCCTGTGGTGAACTTCTCTCCTCCGCTTCATGAAAGTGCTGTCGATGTTAGATTCAGTGTGAATCTGGAAGTCACTTATTTAAGCCACAGAGGTTGCCTTGTCCCCTTTTTCCTGTTAAATTAGAGTTAAATTGTGTGGTTGAGAATCTGTGATGCAAGAGTCACTCTCTGCAATAATGTCTTTCCCCTTGTAACGAACGGTATAAAAATAGGTGTGAGTACGGAGAACTCCCAACTAGAGCAATATGGACTGTATGTGTTTACAATTTGCTCGATCTTCTTAAAATAGGATGAGCCTCAATAACGACCACAACCTTAGGTCCAAGTTGCGACTTTCAACTCAAGAGTTATGAGGAATACTTATATGGTGACACAGTACTGTATCTCTGTGGTCTCACCGTCGAACTTTAATTTTCTTAACTTTAATCGATAATAACAACAATAATCCTTGCATTTGATATAGCGCCTCATCGCGTCGTTGAGACGTCGCAAAGCGCTTCACAGAATATACTGTAAATGATCTTTAGGTTACAGTTCGAAATCCAGGAGAGATTTTCTCTTCTATGTTTTGGATTGATAATGCTACTGTAATATCCTGCTCCAAATCGTCCAGAAGGCTGCAGCCCGCACCCTCTCCTTACTAGGCTCCTCGAGCCATCACCATCCCCGTCCTCTGTTAGCTCACTGGCTCTCTGCTAACCAGCAAATTCGTGATTCTCTTCCTCAATGGCCTCACTCTACTCTACCTCTGCAACCCTCTTGTGTCCCCACTTCCCCAACGGCTCCCTCCAAACTTTTCTCTTTGGCTGCACTCTTCCCGGCTTTCCCCACCCCCACCCCAACTTAGATTCCTAGTCAGTTGTGTGAAATGCTTCGAGGAGTCATTTCTGAGGTGAAAGATGCCACGTAGCAATGTAAAAGATAAGATACTGATGGATAATAATAATCCCATTTGATATAGCAATAATAATTATGATGATGATGATAACAATAATCCTTGCATTTGATACAGCACCTTATCACGTTATTGAGACATTGAGTCTCAAAGCACTTCACAGAATATATTGTAAAGTGGAATGATTGCATTTTGTAAGTGAAACAAAATATGATGATGATTATAATGATGATGATAAACCCGCCCAAAGAGGAGGCAGAGCACCTGCACGAGTGGAATGGCTTTGATTTTCTCCACACGCGATTCTAGTTACCTTTGACAGTTGCTGCTGTCTGCAATGTTCTGGAACTAGTTCAGGATTCAAGGAAATGTTCATTTCTAAACAGTGAAAACAGGAGATCCTAGCAGTCAGTTCCCTCTCGTGTGTGCACCCCAGTCTTAAGTCAGTCGTGCCGGCAGTGCTGTCGATGAAGGTACCCTAAAAAGGTGTGTAATTGTCTGTGGCGAGTGAACAGTGAGGCACCTGCTGGCATTATTATTCTAGGAATCATTTTATCGCTGTCTAAAAGCTTGTGTTGGTTATTGCAGTCTGTCCACGGGGACTTAGAGGATCCAAAGATGGTAACTCATCACAAGCTCCTTCATGCTGCTTCTCAGAGGGTCCTGTCCGACACGAAGACTGTCATTGAGGAGAATCTTCAAGATAAAGGTGAGGACTAGATCAAAATTCAGAATAAAAAGAAAAAAGTTGGAGCAGAAAAAAGATTAGCCTTGGAATATTATTTCCAAATTCGCCTCATTGTATAATAATCTTTGCATTCGTTTTAGCGCTATTCATGACTGGAATATTCCCGAAGCGCATCACAGCATTTTACTGTAAAGTGTAGTGACTGTATTTTGTAGACAAATGCAGCAGCCAGTTTGCGCAGAGGAATGTTCCACAAACAGCCATGATGTGAATGACCATTTTTATCTGGGGGGGTTTGTTGGCCAGGATGAGATGACTGAGTATCAGAGTTTTTTTTACTGTTAAGAATCATGATGTATTCATATTCACATCATTGCTCTGCTGTGTTTTGTTGCAGATGTTTTGTTGTTAATTAAAAAGCGAGCGCCAGCTGCTCCCCCCAAGATGGCTGACGTCTCTGCTGAGGAAAAGGTAAAGCTTCCGCCCATTACATTTTCTATTTACATGAAGTGCTCTATTTACCTCTCTGCTTGAGGCCTCCAAAGATCCTGAGCCATTGCAGAGTCTTTGAACTCTGGCTTTGCAACTTCCCTGCTTTATACGGTTTGATTTAGAAGGTGTCTATATCCGAGGCAGAAATCTCCCTTAAGCGCTCCTCACACAAGGTAGCGTCCCAGATCGCTTTACATTGGCGGAGCATGACACCAAGCCAGGGGAGTGGGGGAGGTGACTATAAGCACGGTCTTCGCACGAGTCCTGAAGGAGGGGGCAAGGCGGAGGGATTGAGGGGGAGTGTTCCAGAGTTTCGGGGCGTAGTGGCGGAAAGAGCGACCACAGATGGTGGAACGGAGGGCAGGAGGGACAAGTCAGCGTTACTTGGCATAGGAGAGGAAGCCGCGTCTCTCTTCCCACCATCAGAACTGGTAATTTACAATTGGGTTTCACTTTTTCATTTTCAATCAGAAAAAAATGGAGCAGAAAGCACCGGATAAAGAATCCATCCTCAAGGTGACGGCTCAGCTTCCTGCTCGCCAGCTGGATCGCACGGTCACCCAGCACAACATGCGAGATGTAAGGGACCTGCCGTCCTTTTGCAAAAAAAGACTGGACTGAAAGCGTTAAATGATCCTTTGCGGGTTGTGCAACTTGCGTTCTAAGGGATGAGTCCTTTTTGGAAACCTTTGTTAAAACCTGCCACTTCTCAACACACAGTTTGACACAAATAGGAATCTGAACGTCTGCTGGCTTTCATGAGGGGAAATTAGTGTTTCAATGGCAGCACAATGCTCTGTACATCACTGTGTAGACAGTTGAGGAGCTGAAGGGAAAACCACTTAGTCAATCGCCAGAACTGCTAAAACACTTTCTCAAGTGCAGACAGAGGCTGAACCCTGGTGTTCTAATTATAGGAACAGAACAGTAAGGGTAGAGATTGAAGCCCATAGTGACAATATAATATGAGTAATATATTTTCAGAGGCTCTGTTTCTGAGACCTCTTGAACAGACTGGTGCGATCTGTTGATGGGTTTGATGCAATTTATATATTAATGTGACTTAAAGGTGACCAGTTGAGGGGGAGGGCAAGAGGAAATGTGTGATGGGGAGTGTGAAATCCAGACTTTCTACTGACATGAATTTTTTTTTAGTTTCAGACAGAACTCAGGAAAATCCTCGTTTCCCTTATAGAGGTGGCACAGAAGTTGCTCGCACTGAATCCAGACGCGGTTGAACTATTTAAAAAAGCAAATGGTAAGATTGATGCCGGAATGGTTTTGCTATGTGTGAGCTAGTTCAGCCTGAGTTATCTTTCGCTTTCCCCTTTATGTATTCCTCTTCTTCCTCTTCCTCCCCCTCCTACCTGAAAAGTAAAGTCAAATTTATAACTATTAACCTCAGAAAGGTGACAGGCTGAGGGAACCCGCTGGCTGGCATTCAAGCTCCAAAGCTCCTGATCTAAAGGCCAGTGCTATCTCACTGAGCCTTCAGCTTCAGTCACGCGATCTGATCAGGTTTTCATTTAAACGTGATGGTTCGCTGCTTGATGATACATACAGAAATTCTTTCCCCCCACATTAATCTATTTAAATAGGATCAAGTATTAGCAAACCTGTCATACAAATGTGTGCTACATTTGTATGACAGGTTTGCTAATACTTGATCCTAAACTACACGAGTGCAGTGTAGTTTGTAGGCAAAACACGGAGTACATACACATGTCTGATGTGATCCCTTTTCAGAGGCAGCAAAAGAATGTATTGATTTAATTTAATTTGAGCCTTTACCGGTGAGCATTCCCTGTGCTTTGTTTCTGGCAGCGCTGCTGGATGAGGACGAGGAGGACAGAGTGGATGAGGCCGCACTACGGCAGTTGACTGAGATGGGCTTCCCTGAGAGTCGGGCTGTGAAAGCCCTGCGGCTGAACCAGTGAGTGATGAATTCTCCGTCGCGCAGGTTTCAGTGGGAATGTTCTGTACATCCTGATCCCTTCAAGGGGGCCATTATATCCACGTCGCTGCTGAATAGTCAGTGCTAATCCAACCATATCATCACTATAACGACAACTTGCACTTGTCTAGCGCCTTTCACGTGGGGTGAGAACACAGAGTGTTTCACAAAGTTATCGGGGATCATCGAGCGGGGAGGAAGGAGAGGGGGGAATGTTTGGATGTTGATTGAAGGCACGTTCAATGAGAGAGAGGGTTTTGAGGTTGCGAGACAAAGTGATTTTGGAAGAGAGTTGCCAAGAATCGAGGAGTAGTGGCTGATGGCTTGACTTATGATGGGACAGAGGGAGTGAGGAAACAGCAGAATTCAACAATCTGAGGGTATGGGCACCAGGTAGCAGATTTAGGGTGGGACAGGATTACAAGGTTTTTAAAGTCAGTTTGAGGATCTTAAATTATTGGCTAGGACACTGGGAGAAACTCTTTTTAAGTAGTGCCATGGGATCTTTAACATCCACCTCTGGTTGCGATATTTTGTGGCAAATTCCATACCTACTGAAAACCCGTCCTCTTTGTGTTCACAGTTTAACGCCGGGTTTGTTTGTTTCCAGCATGTCTGTGACTCAGGCTATGGAGTGGCTGATCGAGCACGCAGAAGACCCTGCTATAGACGCGCCGCTGCCTGGGGAGGGGACGTCCACTGCGCCCGTGGCCAGTCAGTTGCCACCAGAGCAGCCTAAGCCAGAAGCTGCTGCTGAAAACTCCAAGCAGGATGAGCTGACGGAGATCTTCAAGAAAATCCGACGGAAACGGGAATTTCGGCCCGAGCCCAGAGTAGGTGCAAAGCTTTCAATCTGTCATTGTGGATAGAGTCGATGCTGATGAGCTGAAGGTCAGATCTTGTCTGATGAGCTGCATTTCCATGAATGGAACAGTGTTTTACAATGAGCTCAGAGAAGAGTGGACGTGTGAAGTTACTTAGAGCCCTCTCCTCTTTCGCTCCTAAATTTTCTCCGTGACCTTCGTGCTGGGGTATAGTTCCGGAGACCATTGCACTCTCAAGAATACGTGGCTGAGAGCCTCGAAGAACAGGGGAAGTGGAAAGAGAACTGAGGGTGTGCGCGTGTGCACGTGTGAGAGTCCAGACGTGTCTTTGAAAAGCAGGATGCTTTATCCGAAAAGGATGTGATCTGCATTTGATTGACTGTTTGTCACTGATTTTCGACAGGCAATGATTGCGCTGATGGAGATGGGCTTTGATGAAAAAGAAGTGATTGACGCATTGCGGGTCAACAACAACCAACAGGATGCTGCTGTAAGTGCTGGAGATGATCACAAAACTGGTCCCTGTCTCACACTGGAATATAATCCTCCGTCTTTATTTATTTGCACTCTTATTCCTCCGCACTCGTTTATCCAGCGGTTAACTGGTTTGTTACTCGGCAGGGTGCTTGTGTAAGTCAGTCTTGGCTGAAGCACGTTTCTGCTTGAGGATGTGGGACTTACCCACATTTTTGAATTGGTTTATTTACCCTCAGTGTATGTATCAGTGCTCAAAATTCAGTAAGATAAAGCGTTGTCAATATGGCTGCACCTTAGAGGCCAGCTGAGGTGTTGAATATTTCAGGGACATCGCATGAATCTCAGAATGTCCCACGATGGTGCCACATTGCTACTGAGGGTATGATTGAATACCAGCCAAAAGGAGCAGAAGATTAATTGGCTTCTTTGTGTGCTTCACTGTGGCATTGTTAAGCTTATCGCTTTGAGGTTTGTAGGGAGAGGGCTCCTCTGTAAAACTACTTGTCTGTAACATGGCACATTTTGTCTTTTCAGTGTGAATGGCTCCTGGGTGACCGAAAGCCCTCGCCTGAGGAAATGGACAAGGGCATTGAAGTGGAGAGCCCACTCTTTCAAGCAATCCTAGACAATCCTGTGGTACAGTTGGGGTTGACCAATCCCAAAACGCTGCTAGGTAGGTTGCTTAAACTGTTGCTCCTTTCACCTTCCTTTGTGAAGATTTCTCTCCCTTCCCCCCGCCCCCTCCACACACAATGCAGGATTGCTCATATACCTCCAGAAGAAAGCACTGCTTTAGCTCCAGCTGGTACAAGAATTACATCCATAACTGTTTTTTCTCTGCCTCCAAAGAGCCCGTTGAGACTGGCGATTGCCAACCAACTGGTGCTGAGATTCAGACCCGCAATCAATATCTCTGGCAGGCTCTGATACTTCTATATTTAACCAAGTGTTTGAATAAAACGTAATCTCTGATTGGCAACAATATTTCTTTTGCAAACGACATAATACGTAACTGCATTTCCTCGCAAGGTTTTATAGCTGAATCGTGAATGCTTTCTTCTGTACGCCCTCTTTATTTTTGCACTGCCTGCTTTCTGTACCATTCTGTTTCGCTCATAAAATAGTCACTTCACTTCACAGTATATTCTGTGAAGCGCTTTGAGACGTCTCGAAGACGTGATAAGGCGCTATTTCAAATGCAAGGATTATTATTATTAACAAATGTGTCCCCGACCTCCCTTTTAGGGACCCCATGTGTGCGAGGATGTTGTAATCTGTTTTAGAAACCTGGTGGCGGTGGAAGTTTGCAGCAATATGTGTGGCCTGGACAAAAATATCCACTTTATGTAAAATCTGCGGTATATTCAGGATAAACCAAACATGGGTGTAAGTCTGTTTGTGGTTCTCGGGCTAGGGAGGCTGAGGTGATGCTCTACCTCACTAACCTTTGGTTTCTTCTCCCTGGCTTTTTCTCTTGTAGCATTTGAAGATATGCTGGAAAATCCGTTGAATAGCACTCAGTGGATGAACGATCCGGAAACAGGTCCTATAATGCTGCAGATTTCTAGAATCTTCCAGACTCTGAATCGCACGTAGGGCAATCCATCCCCTGCGACTGAAGTGCTTCCAGCTGCTCATCTGCAAAAAAAAAAGGGTGCAAACTCCCGGAAGAGTGTGCTTCAAGCAGTCGACAGTGGGCTCTGTTTGTACTTGATATAAGGGTAACTGGCAGCTACACCCAATTAACTACTGTTGCCTTTGAATCCAGTGCTTAATGGGCCTTGATTTGAGGTTTTAATTTAAAAAAAAGTATTAGTAAATTGCACAGCGTTGGAGACGAAAGAGAACACTCAAACCAAACACTCAAAAAATTTGATCCCAATTTCTGAAGCAAAGGAAGCAACTATATCTTGTGGATTTGGATTGTATTTGTACGTGGCCAAAGAACAAAAGGTTTTAAGGAAGGTTTCTACTACATAGATGTTTTTTACGGTTTGCCTGTCTCGGATTTCAAACCCTATAACTCTTATCTGAAACAGAGAGAACATCTTCATTGTAAACTAGGTACGTTAAAACTTAAGAGCTTCAGGAATCCAACACAAACACACAACTGTGAGGAGCTTCACGGTGGGCTGTCACAGTGCACTTGGCCTGTCTCCTGTAGGAACCTCAAACTTAGTTCTGTAGGGATAAGGTGGCAATCCTGCAACCAGTAGCAATTGCAGTATTGAAAATAAAGGTCATGACTTGCAGATGAGAGAGCGAGTTTCTTTTCACACCACTCATGTTAGAATACATAGTATGGTATTGGGTGCGTGCAGAACTTCTCAGTTAAAGGAAAACTTCAGGTGCCGAGTATGTTTTGTTTGATGCACAGAGCACGCCTCACCACAACGAGTTTGTTTATCGATCCCCTACAGAATGGTGTTCCACTCGCGTGCTTATCCAGTTGCTGCCGTGGAAAGAGTGAGGAAGCCTTCCTCTCTGTTGTTGGCGAAGATACACAAGACGATCATAATTGTACACACAAAGCAGTCTCGTAGAAGGTTTCATACAAATTCACACATTGAAACCTAGAGATACTGTTCTGGTAACTGAAGGGTTCTATATCGACCCAAGATATCAGCACATGGCTGATCTTTTCAATACCTGAATAAAATGCTGGAGTCTTTCTTTGGCCACAGATGGGAGCAAAGTTCTCTGAGTAATGAACCAGGTTAGTTGGCACCTGGAATTTACCTCTTAATATCAGCAGCATTTCAGTGAGAGGCTTCAAGTCTAAGATCAGTAGCAATGTAAAGGACTAGTGTTTGATGTTCACTACAAAATGAATTGTTATAACTACTGGATCAGGACTAGAGGTTTAACAGCTCATGGTGCTAATTACAAAGCACCTGGTGAGAGATTTTAAGTTATATTTCACGCATGTGTCGGATTAGCAAGTGCTTTAAAAGGGAGTGGAGGGATGTTTAAAGTACTGTATTGGTTAGTAACTTTCTGTTTAAATTCCTGGAGTCTTACAGTCTTTGGTGCTTTTAGTTTCTCTATTACTTTCTGAAGGAAAATCTGCCGGACTTGGTATGACAATAGAATAAAAATGGTGTGTGATGCAGTGAAGTCATAATGAGGTGGGGTTCAGAACATCAACCATCCAGAGGTTATCATCAGTGAATGTTTATGCAGGCAAATTCCTACAGACACTGCCAGATTCATGGCACTATTGAGTGGGAAAGGAACAGTTAATAGCACGCAGTAAATCAACTGAGTGTCTGTCTGACTAAGTACAGACTTTCGAACTAAATATTTAGTAGTCTCTTTCTTCTCTAAACCCATCACATGTGCACACGTTTCTAGACCTCAAATATAGTGGACTAAATATTCTCACCCTTTTCCCACATTTATTTCTTATCCCTCAAAGTCTCAGTATGGAGTCTGTGCTGTGCTCTTCTGCCCCTGCACAGTGCAGCCTTCATTCTGATGGGGGAAAGCAGCCAGATGCTAATCTCCGCACCAATTTACTCCCAGTTTATTGTATTTAGTTTACATATCCCTTCCAGCAGCAACTTCTTGCCTAAATAGAACTTGTTAGGGGAAGGCAGGGTCTGAATTCAGTAACATTTGTGTTTTGATGTATCTGATTGCGATATAGATTAAGGAGACTTCAGATTGGAGCTTCTAATAGGTGCGTCATCTGACAGTTTGAGGTCTGTGATTTAATTTACTTCAGAAGTGATTTGCCACACTTGCTAAATGGTAGCTGGAGATTGTGTTACATTGACTTCTACGTTATCAGGGTCCCATCTAGGCTGGCGGTTGCCTGCACAAGAGATGTTTGGATGAAGAAGGCATTGGGCCAATTTGATCTTATCCTTGCAGAATACCTACTGTGCAGCCTTCCCCTGTTGATTGCCCTCTATGCAAAGAAATGCTTTATATTTATCTTAACCTTTTCCTTCGCCTCCCTGAACCCGTGACGTTGCCTTGGTATGGATTTCCATGCTGACTTTATGCTTGGTGCCATTATTGATTGAGCCCATCACACCATTTGCACTTGTGTCCCAAGTTTTATGCGGAAGGGTGGAATGTTGCTTTCTTAGTGACTGGGCTTCTATGGTTCCCAGTAAAAGAGGTTTGGAGAAAGCAGGAGTTATCTATGGATGAGAGACACACCTGTTTGCAAACCGGTGGCCTATCGAGTCAGTTATTTTGCAACCCAGTATACTCTGGCACGTGTGTGTTCTGTCTTGTGGATTGTGGTGTTCACTCCAATAAAGCAAACAATGTAATATACTCTCTAGTTCAATAGCCTCTAAATTATAAATATCATACCAGAACTAGTTTTATTTAAGAAATTAAATATTGTTTCCATATATATATATATTTACCAAAAAATGGGTACAAGGGTTTTGTGACTTCTCGTTGTAGTCTTTTCTCTTGAACGTGCTTCGAAGAATCCAGGAAGGTGGCTAGTTTGAGCCTTTGATGAAAAGTCTTTGTGCTTGAGGTGATGGTTTTGATATATAGTGTCATATGGTTTAGATGGGGTGTGATATTTAGTGCAGTGTCTAGATAAGTTCAGGCCACAGTGCTGCAACTTGTAAACGTACTAGCTTTGAGCCAAAATGTGTCGTGCATCAGGGTGATGTAACCAAGGCCTGCTTATGTCTTAACTGTGCTCGTGTATTTGGTGATTGGTAGCGGCTTCGCGAGGACCACTTGGACAGGTTATTGTTAAGAGAAGGTCCAATTTGTTCTGTTCACAAAAGAGATTGATATGATAATTGCAGCTCGTGAAATCCACCAGTGGGAATTCCTGAGTTGGCAAAGTCTGAGACTGGGTGTTTCCAGACCAGATTTTACTGCCTGATCGCTGCTTTGGGCTTTGCCGACTTGGTATTTGTATGGGGTGAATTTCTCAGACCGGACTATTAATGTATTGAATCCAGATTGCGAATTGCGATGTGGCTTCAATGCAACAACATCCGCACTGCTGGAGACAGCGTTGTTGTCAAGAGTCACGTTCGAATAATCCATCGGCTGTTGAAATGTTAATCCTCTCTTGCAATCATTTTATTATACATTAAACACGCGCTGCAATTTCAGAGCGGGTTGATCAGCATCTACACTCATCGTCATCAAAGCACTTACGTTCTGAAGGGTACGATTGAGTAATTTTATTAATCCTGCCCAGGATTCCAGCAGCCTCTTACGACCTCCATTTCAAGGTTCAAACTAGTATCTCCCTCATTTTTATTACGTATGATATATCTTAGTACTTTTTTTGAAGTTGAAATGGAAATGACAGATGCAAGGTTTAAGTGGCAAAACCTTACTGTAGTAGAAGGAATTGTAATGGGCGTTTTGTGCATTCAAGTTTTAGACTCTTGTGTATTGATAAAGGGTTAGAATTATTCTTAGCCGGCTTTTGTGAGCAAACCGAGTGAAATAAGCTAAATTTGGGAATTGCCAATTTGTAATTCGGTCTGAAAACAATTCTTAGACAAAAAGCGACTTGTACAATCTAACACTGTTGAAACCCGCTTTTAGCAAACATGGTTCATACACGAAAAGTATTGAAAATTCAAAGATCATCTCTCTTAGTAAGCCACAAAGCTTACCAGTTACATTGAAATCATTGCATATCTTGTGAAAGTGAGTACAGGGCATTAATTGAGCCGAATGGCTTCTGTTGTAAATTTTCTGCGGGGGGAAATTGATATGTTTTATAGCCATTTGTTGGAATAATCATTGACTTGTGCTAAACATTGAATCGTTCTGAACCTGCAAATGTCACCACATTAATTCAAATTTGATTGAGGTCTTAAATTGTCGGCTGAACTCTTGAGATTAGATTACACTGTTGATTATCAGCATAGATGGTAATCATTGCATTGATATCATGTCTATAAAGTCAAAGTACTCCACAAACTGTAAAGTGTAGTGACTGTGTATTTGTAGCTGAACATGTGGTCAATTTGCACATTCACAATGCTCCCCAATCGGCCATAATTGCCTAATAATTTCCGGAATGAGGTAAGCAGGATGCGAGCCTCCAGGTAGAGAATGCGCATTCCATTCCAACAATCTATAATAATAATAATAATAATCCTTGCATTTGGTGTAGCACCTTATCACGTCTTCGAACCGTCTCAAAGTGCATCAATCTATTTAGAATTTCCATGTGTAGGTGGGAGGAAGCTGTAGCTGTGACAACTTGTCAGCCAACTTGCATTTATATAGCGCCCTTCACGCAGAATAACATCTTGAAGTGCTTTAATGGGCACTCTAGTTCTCTTCTTGTTGGTAGAAGCAGATTTTAGCTTCAATTAGGGGATGAAAGTTGAATCTGAGCGCGCAACAACATGGCGTGAAGTTGCTGATGAGACAAAAGTTATTTTCAAAGCGTTGCCTTGGCAGGACGGTGTGAGGTAGGAGACAGATTTCTTACTCAGTGCATTTTTCTCATGTTCTGACTCGGCCACTTACTTGTATCTCGACTGTGTCTCTTCCCACTAACCTGGTATGGAGAGCAAAGTGAAGACGCAACCAATGGGTGAGAAACTGAACTCTGCAGAGGTTAGCTGGACACCTCTCGTTATCATTTGTGTCATTAATCACGGTAGATTTCATTGTTCATCACACTGTTAGACTTCATCCTTCTGTACGAGCTAAGCACTAGGGGCCTTACCCCGCGTGAAGGGCGCTATATAAATGTAAGTAGTTCTTATACTAAATGCAGCAACCTGCTCATCGGTGCTCGTCGTTCAATGGTCTTTAACAGTAGAGCGTAAGGCACTGTTTGGTGTCTTCTCTGATCTGTTCTGATCTGGAACAAATTAATCTTAATTGTTTGACCAATATATCTCCTCGTATGTCACAGGCACCTGTACTCAGATCTCTGTGGCTTAGCACCAATCTATTCCTCATCTACACACTGCCCTTCAGTGACATTGTCTGTCAGCACAGGTTGCTTACATTGTACAGTGACGATGCCACACTCTACCTCTCCACCCGCCACCCTTTGTAAGTTTGCAGAGAGCGATGCTGGTTATATTTTCAACAGCATCTGATTCCTGAGTCGGTTAACCTCACTGGTTGCTGGCTATGGTTGCTTTAAGCGATGCACAATCTTCTGCTCTGTGCTGTTCCATTGAGTTTCAAACCTCACATCCATCCATTGTCAGGACTACCTCTGGAGAGTATTACCTGTGGATTTCCCCACCACCAGTGCTGCTCAAACCCTTATATATCC